TTCATTTTTTAAAGACTTCAATGAACTTTGCAATGATTTCTTTAACTCTATCACAGTTTGTACAGTTTTCTTTTCAGTGTTACTGCTGGTATCATCACAATATTTTACACAAATAAAGAGCAAAAAGAAAGCGCAGTGACAAAAGTCTGAACGCACTAACACAAGCACTATGAACACAAGCACTTGTTGTCTCGGCGAGAAGGGCGCTTAGATGGAAGCCTCACTCCTTTGTGCCTGCAGTGAGCTTTCATGCATGACTCGCACTGGGCCCTTATGGGATTTTTCAAGTCAGCTTTCCCCTTGGGCTATTGAGCAAAGTTAGGAACGCCTAACAGATTTTTTTCCAACTTTGCTGGGTAGTGGAAAGTCACTGGGTAGTTGCTGAGCCATTCAACAATCGAGGTATCACTGTAAATGACTGGGCTCTGTGTCAAGAGGGCCTGGAGCCTGCCAGACTCCCAGGGGCCAAAGAGAAGGATTTTTGAGCACCAATAAAAATACTAACTGCAACCAATTAAAACACAATTACAACACATTTAAAAGTATTACTCCTAATTATCAGAGTATTTAGCGGTCAATGGGGCAATTTGTCTTTGAATAAGTATCCTACAAATGAATGAGGATCAAAATATCACCAATTTGCAACCCCTAATGAATTGACAGATCTAGGCAATGATTGTTAATTCACTTCTGCATTTGCTTTGTGGAACCCACTTCCTTCTGCTTTGTAAATACCACTGTGGCAGGCTGAACAACGGCACCCAAAGATGTCCTCATCCGAAGCCCAAGAGTGTGAGAATATTCTTTTTTTATGGAAAAACGAGTTTTCAAGATGTTATTAAATCAAGAATCTTGGGGATTCTTGGGAGATTATCTTGGATAGTCCAGGTGAGCTATATGCAACCACAAGTGTTTGTATAAAAGGAGAGGAGACAGAGAGAGAGAGAGAGACAGAGAGAGAGAGAGAGAGAGATATTCAGCTGCAGGAGAAGGAAGGCAGTGTGGCTACAGAAGGAGAAACGGAGTGATCCCAGGAATGCAGGAAGCCACCAGAAGCCGGGAGAGGCAAAGAACAGATTTCCCCCTAGAAGTTCCAAAAGAAATCAGCCTTGCAAACACCATGGTTTTTAGGCCTTTCAGACTCATTTTGGACTTCTGGTCTCCAGAACTATAACAGAATGAGTATCTGTTGTTGTAAGCCATAACATTTGTGGGATTTTTTGACAGCACCAATAGGAAGCTAATCCAACTAGAGACCTGAGTTTTGGGCCTAATTCTAACTTGTAAAAGTACAATCCAGGATATCTCTAAAATCATTAAAGTCATTCACAAGTGGCAGTTTTACAAATCACCCCTATTGGCTTGAAAAATAACTCAGAGATTCTCCTTCATGGACCCCAAATCTACTGAAGGCAAGTGTCAGACAGGAGTCTGGAGATAGGTGTAGGTTTGGGTTCTGGCTCTTGTTGAATCTGTCATATTTAAAGTGTGAATAGTATCCATATAGATTTGCCAAGATGTGTCTCAGGCAGTAACAATTAAAAATAAAGCACCTAGGATTGGGAGTGGAGCTCAGCGATAGAATGCTTGCCCCCTGTGAGCCAGGCCCTGGATTCAATCCCCAGTAATATCAAACAAAAAGGAATGGAAATGAGCCAAACCAAGCCGAACCGAACCGAACCGAACCCAACCCAACCCAACCCAACCCAACCCAACCCAACCCAACCAAAAAGTCCTAAGGGATTCTAACTTAGTATTACCTGTCTTGATCAGTTTGGAGTTGCTATCATAGAATACCCAAGACTGGGTGACATAAAGAGAAGATCTCAGAGTCCTGGAGGTCGAGAAGCCCACGGTCACAGTGCTGGTGTCTGCTGAGGTTTTGTGTGCTGGGCTGTAGTGTGGCCAAAGGGCAGGTGTGCTTGCTTAAGAATTGCAAGAGTGGGCCAACTTGCTTTTATAATCCACGCCATGACACCTAACTTGCTCCCAGGATAGTAGCACTGATCTATTCAGGGCCTGATTGCTTCTCCGTGACACCACCTCTTGATACTGTTTTGATGGCAATTTCAACAAGCGTTTTGGAGGAGGTGTTCAAACTGCAGCCCTATCCTTGGGCACTTTCATCAATTTAGCTAGACTGTGGAAAAGCCTCTTTTTCACTGAATAAAATAAAAAGTTTAAAATGTTCTACTAAATATCATTACTCATGCTGGGTAACATGGTGGAAAATTTAGAAATGACTGAATTTTCAGGACTGATGCTCTTCACTCAAACTGTTGACTCTGTCACAGTCACCCCCTCCCCCTCTTCTGGGGAACCAACCATGACAAACACTATCTAATAGATGCCTGTTTAGGTCCTGCTTAAGCAGGTACCATGCAGAAGTACACATACAAAATCTACAGACTGGGAGGACCTGTGCCAGGGACATAAGTGTTGACATTTAGAAGGACCACAAAAAACCAGTCTAATTTGAGCCATAATCATTTGTGTTATTTGCCCATAATTATACAGATTAATGAAAAGACTTTCTCTCTCCCTTTTCTTGATAGTATATTTTAAAAGAATGACTTCAGATTTCTTCAGAGAATCAATCTGCAGTGTTCTCATAAAATCACTGGGACATTTTGATAGAGGGTATTAATTATATAAATAGAAAGGTACTTTATTCTACATGGGAGAACATGATAGAATAGAGGAAACATAGCTGAGATAATTTTGAAATTTTAAAAGAACTGAAGCTTAAAAATAACAAAAAAAGCCATGGGTGGTGGTGCATGCCTGTAATCTCAGCACTTGGGAGGCTGAGGCAGTAGGATCACTGTGAATTTGAGGCCAGCCTGAGCTACATAGTGAGTTTAAGGCCAACCTGGACTACATAGTGAGACGTCGTCTCAAAAACAAAAACAAAGCAAAAACAAAAATAAAACAAAACAAAACTACTGTGAATAGCGTACAGACATTCTGAGATACAATGGAGAATTAAGCATTTTGAGGGGAGAATCTTGGGGAAGAACAGTTGAATGTGGTTTGACTTTGAGAAAAATTGCTCATTTGCATATATCTCTTCTAAAATTCTACAGATAGTGAGTGACTGAGCACTTAATGTTGGTATACTTATTCTTGGTTAACTATAAAAATGATGGACAATTTCAATGGTTTTAGCTCAGCTTGTTCTGTGGATATCCTTGCTAGATTGGAAAGCTTCCTGGGTGGGGTTGGTTTATCTATCTCTATCATCTATTATCTATCTATCTATCTATCTATCCATTGTTTATTTATTGGAACTTTAAGCGTGGTAGGAAAGTGCTCTACCACAGCACTATAACTTCAGTCTTTTCTCATGTGTGTGACTAGGTCTTGCTAAATTGCTCAAGCTTGCCTCAAACTTGCCATTCTGCAGCCCTGGCCTCTCAAGTACATGGGATTAGAAGTGTGCACCACCACACCTGGTTCACTTTTTTTCCTTCCAAATTTAAGAAACCCATCAAACACATTGTTTAAAGAACAGAAAAGCAGGCTGGCTTTCAGGCAAGCAGCTGCCCACACTGCACAGCTGCCAGGCCATGCCAGTGACAGACCTCCGCAGTGCTGAGTCACACTGCCCCACGACCTTTCATAGTCAACCCTTGTCATACGATGGGTTTCCCTCTGAGCAGCATAACTGGTGTCACAAATTCAATTGTGTTTACTGGCGTGTCATTTAATTTTGTAACTGGTAAACTAAAACTAAACTGAGAAACCACTATGTACAAATCAACAATAGGTCAGTGCTAACTGGAGATATAGTAGATGCACTTACATGAATTCTCTGGTACAATGCTATAGTTAGACAAGGGAACAAATTTATGGTAACCATGGTTGTATAATTACAAACTACACAAATAGAAGTTTCATCTACTGTGTCTGTTTTCAATTTGCTTTCTGATTACTTAACACACATTGCAAGGAATGGCATTTCTTTTTCAAGTTCTTACATCTTTCCCTTTTTCCACCCCTGAACTAAGAACTTCTGGCGCACACCAAAAGACACAAAAAAGACTTCTTAGTGTGCTGTTGCCACCCATGTCAAAACTTCTGTTCCATACTCAATCCCAGGAATTTCCCCGAGAAAGTGATATGCCAAGGTTCTCACATTTGCATGAATGGACATCACAGGGGGTGGGTACCTTAATGCACCGCAGTGAAGGGTGCATCTGTTTATCCTTTTCCAGCAGAACTGAAATGGAGTGATTACAAGTGTTTACTTTAAGCTGGGTGTGGTGACTCCCCAGCACTTGGGAGTCAAACATCACCTTGAGTTTGAGGCCAGCCTGGGTTACGTAGTGAGTTCAAGACCAGTTTCAACTGTATAATGAAACCCTGTTTCCCAAAAAAACCTGTTTAGAGGAAACTTATTTAATTCCAGTGACCCAAAGCATTGTTAGCTGCTTTCTTTGATACTCTCTGAAAATATTTCTTCCCCCACTTCTTTTTTAAAGAAACTAGATTCTTGGAGGTCAAGGCTGATACATACTTTTAATGCATAAACAGGCTAAAAACAAGATACAGTGCCATTATTTTATTAGAAGTGATTTCAACAGTGACAGAAAATATTCCCCATGAAAACTCACTTTCCAAAGGGAGAGCTGTTGGGTGAGTGTATTCCTTAGGGATTTCCCAAGAGGCCAGAGATTAAAACACTGACCACTGTCTTCACACATTAGTTTTATTCCCATAATCAAGAAATAAGGAGACTGAAGCCAAGCTTTGCAAGTCTTTTAATATAAGTTCAAAATTCAGAGAAAAGTCTTATACTTATAGTATTTGATTTGAAAACAGTTACTACATGAAAAAAAAAAACCTGGAAATATAGTCAGAATAAGAACTCAATCTTTATTATATCATATCTGGTGTTTCTTGCTGGAGATAAAAATATTTAGTCAATTGATTAATTTTAGTAAAACCAGTAATTTTATGGAAAAGTTATCAGAACATAACTATACACAAAAACCAAATCTCTTTATATAATTAAAAATTTATTGAATTTCCTGTGCTGTTACAAATGTAACATTGCTTTATACAACATTCATCGAGGAGGCGAGATTCTTATTTTGAGATGACACAGATTAGACAATTGTTTTCAGTGAATAACTAACTTTCATTAGGAAATTTAAGTACAAGCTGTCTTTCTATAGAAAGTTGCTTTGACATTCTACACCTAGCATAAAATTTAATTTTTTCTATCTCAAAATGACCATATGCAAATACCTTCTAATATAAGCAGAGTAATTTCACAGTGTTTTCACTTTGGGGAAGAAATTGACCTGGGTAAAGAATGTGCTGCTAGACCTCATTATGAGGACAGTAAGGGTGAGCTGCTTTGTTAGCCAGACATGCCTTCACCCCTCTGGGCCTCGAAAACTACCCTTAGAGACAAGACAAAGCCTGCCTGGGAATGGAGGGCGAGTGATCCACAGCTTAAAGGAGAAACTTTTGGTTACGTGGCTGGTTATGGTGTCCATGAACGCACTTTATTTCCCTGGCCTAATCCTAATCTTGTCTTTCAGGTGTTATAATTCCGCCCTCCCAGACGTTAATCTCCATATTACAGCACTGGCACTGGGACAGAGTAAAGCACACTTTTATATGGTCAATCATAATCTCCCCCTATACAGCTAGAGGATTTAAAGTCTAAGTATTTTATGGTATTTACTGAATGGTCCCTGGTTTACCAGGTTCCCACCCTAGCGTTCATCATTAGAATACCAACCTTAAGGTAACGTTTGCTCAATATCCATCAGTTTCAAAATACACCAGTGTAAATGTTGCCACTGACTACCTTGCATCAAACTCAGAATTAAATTCCATGGAACCGGACCACTGAGCTCGCTTTCACAAAGTGAGTCACGGGTCACTGAGCTCTCATTAGATTTTGGTTCTTGAACCAGGCTGTCTTACTGACACCAGAGTGTCACTATTGGAACAACAAAGGCTGAGTTTGGGGCAGGGACAACAGAGCGGGTGCCAGGCAGCATTCATGTGGTGCAAATTCCCTGGAAATAGAAGGGGTCAAACAACGTGCATTCTTGGCCCAGGTCTTAAATCTAGTGACTCGGAGTCTTTGGAGAAAAGCCAGATAAATCTGTATGTAAAGAAATATATAAGTAGAACCCACGGCCCACCTAGGATCCATCCAAAGGTCCCAGAGCACGACCCCTGTTCTCCCCAGAGAACCTACTTTTCTTTGTCAGATTCCATTTCTTTTTTATTCATCCTTGCCTTTTTTATCCACTAGCATTTCATATTAATTATGATCCCCTCTGGAGAGTTTTCTTTCAAATAATAGGGTTTGGGGCTCAAAAATCAGCTTTCAACCTAAATGGCTTCCAGTTCACTAGACTCTGACAGTTCCTATTTCTCTTCCAAAATTAGGCTCAGTAACTTTGTGTTGGGGGTGGGGGAGTTGAAGACCTAGAAAAACATCCATTTTTGAGTGCTGCTTTTGAGGAAATTTCAAATGTCTGACCACATTAGGGTGACCATAGGTAACAGTGATATAGTACACATTTCAAAAAGCTAGGAGAAAGGCTTTTCAAAGTTTTTACCATAAAGAAATGATCAATGTTTGAGGAGACAGGTATGTTTAATGTGAGTTAAATATTACACAATGTACAGCTGTACGGAAACATCACATGGTACCCCATTCGTGTTTAATTTGTATGTCTCAGTTTAAAAGGGTTAATTTTTTTAAAGAAGATGACCCAAAAGTGGGGCTCAGCAGAGGCTATTTCACAGATCATCATCATGAAAGCATCATCTCAAGGGCCATTCTCCCAGCTCATGTTTTTGTCAGAAATTCTTTCATTACACACCAAAAACACTTTCCAGGGCTTCCTGAGCAGCCCCAGTCAGCACATTATTTTGGATTAGCAAAGCGTGGAAATCAATCCATTGACTTACATGGCAATTTTGATATGAGTTCAGTTTTTCTAAGCAAATTAAGTTTTTTTAACTGGGCTACCAGAACTAGATCTTAATGGGAACCTTTTCCTCTTGTAATGTATTACTGCTTTATGGTTGACAAAGGCGTAATGGCATGGGAAGAGCTGGCAGGCATGTTTATTTATAAGCACACAAGACTCAAGACTTCCAGGACACTCTCAGAGCTATAAATACAAGAAAATAAGCAGCCTTTCAAAAGTGAAAAACAAAAAAGCTGGTTTATGATTCCCTCAGGGTGAATGGGGAAAGATTATGCAGGCAGGGGAAACTGCAGGGGATGACGGATACGTTTACTATTGTGACTATGGCGGTGTCCAAGTGTATCAAGTTGTACAGCTCAAACACATGAAGCTTATCACATGTCAGCTATACCTGCAGCTTAAAAACAACTTTAATTCTTGAAGCACTAAGAGCATGAGAATAACTAAAGGGGAGCAGATGCCTAAGGTAAAAGAAAGAGGAGTGTTAGCATTATTTGCTCTTTAACAAGTAAGTGCAGTTGCTTACTCTGCTAAAAAAATGTTAGAAGACAGATGGGACTCAAACAGGAGTACACCTTGTTTTATGAAAACTTAAGATTCTTCCATCTGCAACTAACATGTTTAGAAAGAAGGCATGCTAGAAAGAACAATTTACACAAAACAACATTATTTTTTCCTATCAATTTGGCCATACAAAAATAACTAATAACTTGTATTGATGGGGTAACTTTTAATCTGTGAAAAATTAGTAGTGTTCAAGAGATTAAATGAAATGGCTTCCAATATTGAACAATTCTGGAACTTTGCATAGATGCTGTGAAAAGAATGGACCTGTGTATCCCTACCCTTCATTAAGCTACGATCAGAAGACTTGGAAAAATCAATCAAGTCAGAGATTGATTTGGGAAACAAAAGGATGCACACAGCAGATAAGTGCTTCTCTCCCGGAGCCACCTGTAAGCTTTCTTTATCATGAAACTTCATTCGCTTGAGATAGTGGGCATGCTGGTTAATGACAGCAATTTTTAAATAATTCATTCTTTATATCTCAGTTTCAGAGAACTAAAGCTAAATCTTTCTTACACAATTTGCCACTTTATCTAAAAGAAGAGGCTGTGAAAAAGTCTTACCATTAAATAATAAATGTATGTTCTTAAAAAGTTATGTATTAGACAACCTAAACAATGTCAGGTTCCATTCAAGAGAAAGATTCATGCAACGTACAGTTCAAAATTATGAATTTTAACAAAATAAATTCAATGAAGGCTTAGAAAATCTAATCTTGGTTTGATATGGAGTATTTTCTTAGTTCCACTGACACACTTTTGTCTCCATCTTTCCCCCAAAGAACATTTCTAGAGCACAAAATAGATTCATAATGATTTAATTAGGTACATTTTATATATCCTGAACATAAGGTCTCTCATAGAAATAAACTAGTATTTTGTACACAAACTTTATTTACTGTGTCACATTGTAATATACTGCGCCAAGTGCAAACATTTATTACACCCCCTGGTGTGTGTGGAGCTACACCCCCACAAGCACTTCATCATCCAGGGTGACAGAGAACAAGATTAGACAAGATGGATAATTAAAACCCATAAGGTAGTAACAAAAATTTAGATTACGATGAGAAATGCTTCACCAGCCATAGCTGTAAGTAGTACTAAGCAGAAACAGCTTAATCAGGTTTTCCTCCCTAAACCCCTCCCCCTGGTCCTTGGGACAGGATCTAATGATTGATTAGTGGAGTTGCTGAAGGCACGGGGCCAGAATAATCAAGAGAGCAAAAGCTTTGGAAAATTGACAACTTGGCATCCTTTGTATTGAAAGGAATATTTTCTTACCCAGAAAATTACATTTGGGTCCTCCTCCACACATATAATTAATAGGTAGCATGAAATATGTACCTTAAGTGAGGTTTATTTTTACAATTGCCTGGAAATTATGGGGAAGATATTTTAAAGTAATCTATGAAAAAATAATGAATCAATATATAACATATCAAGTACAGGTACAAATTCCCAATGATGAATGTGATCATAACGTATACCTAAAATGTACCAATAAACTTAATTTGAAAAACCCCGAGAATTAAGACACTAAAATCACACCTTGTGTAGTAGGATCAGGATCAAACTACTTAATTTCCCATGGGTTCTCCACACGCTGGTGCATACCACCAATCTGCTCGGTCTGTAGGGTCACTACCACTTACAGTCGTTTTCCTAAATGACCGTCTCAAAGGAGAGGAAGGTGCTTTTAAGTAACTCATGGGACAAGTGTTAAGAAATGTCAAGTCCTCCCCTATCCTACCTCATTTTAGGGTTAAAGAAAACAAAAATGTCCCTGAAATAAAAAGCTTTATATAAAATTCTACGGAATACCTCAGGTTTTATCAACAGAATGATCTAATATTGTATCCCTTACTGTTTAGTCCCTAAAGCCTGAGTATACAGATGAAAATTCCAATGAGGAAGTCTCATAATTCTATAAGCATCATTGTCAATAAAAATTGAAAAAGAGGATGGGACTGTTATACCAATATGAGTGTTCGATGGGGAACGTAAGTCAATCAGGTGTTACAGGAGTATTATTTCAAACTTTATTGACCATTGAATGGTAATAATCAGGGTATATAAGTCCCAAAAGACATTCTAATCTGATATAAAACATGGTGACTTTAATTAATTTGACATTTTTCTCATTCTCACGTTGAAATCCTAATCAGAGTTACAAATTAGCTTTGATCAACATTCTGCAGGCTGAATTTATTTAATCAAGGCCCTGTCTACAACTTCTCATTTTCTCAGTTATAATCCGAGGTGCACTGCTCGCTTCCCTGACGGGCCGGGGTCTCCTCCAGCTTCCTCACTGGTGTCACATCTGTCACTTGCTGCCTCCCCTCGCTATTCTCTACCCACAATACCTTCACTTTGAAGGGTTCTTGTATCAATGCTATTTTGAGACTGTTCAGGAAAATGCAAGTCCAGGCTAAAACCACTCTAAATAGTACCGTAAGCGGTACCAATCAAAAGGGAACGGATTTCTGTGAGGAGGTCAGTATCTTCTAATTAAATTTAGATTAAAATTAAAGGGATGTATCTGAGGATGCAGATCAAAGGATGGCAAGATGAATGAATGAACAGGAAGAGCACTGATGGCAGGGAGGCATTTACAGCCGTGGAGGGAACCACACACAGATTTAAAGCGAGAGTTAGAAGATTTGAGATGCACAGGAAGGGGCTGCTTAAGGGGATGCTCAGATTTGGCGATGGGTTAGAGAATTTGAGAATGAAATTCCATTCTAAACTTACGCAAACTGCACACATCATATAATTACTTGAATGAAAGGAGGGATGAATTTTGGATAAGTAAATATTGCTCCATCTAGAGGAAATTTTAGAGTTTTCCCTGACATTCTTATCGGCAGTTTTTTGTTTGGTGGTGTATTAGCCATTATTAGGAATGCTGCAGTGAGGAGAAATAACACTAAAATCAAGACTGCATAAGTCAGTATAAAATGTCAGTAGCCATATTACCAGGGTTTAAAGTAACACTTAAATTCAGATGGTAAGAATCTAAGAATAAAAATCTAACAATAAAATATATGTAATTTTATAATTCTCTAGGAAAATCTCTTTTGAGAGATTTAAAAAAAATACAGGCATTTTATATAGTTATCTACATGCAGAAACTTAGGAACACTAATGCAAGTTTCCTAGGAAAGCTTCTGTATATTGCAGAGGAAAAACAAATCCTGCAGTATGTGAAACGTACTTCTGCCCTCCCCCCAGTGGGATGGATGAACTCTTCAGCCTAAGTTTTATTATCTCTGCTCCTAGCAAGGTAAGTTCCTAATATGTAGTCATGTACCATATGGAATTGCTTGATAAAAAGAAGAAATATAATTTTGCATAGAACCCACTGTAACAATGCAAATAAGCTACTAGCATTCTCGATTCTGTTCTCAGTGGAACGGGAATAGCGGCAATGAGGTGGCCGTGGGTGAGAGATGTGTGTCGCACTGTGCATCACTCAGAAACAGGGGCTGTTTACAGTCCCGAGCCCACACTGAAATTCCATATGCTACTTGGCATTCCCCTCCAAAGTTTTAACACTGGTGACAAATGTCCAAATGAAACAGATTTTGCCAAACCATAGGGCAAACTGTGAGGTTCGGTGGAAGAGGGGCGGTTTGCTATCTGGACACAAGACAGGAACTTAATACACACTGTGAATACAGAGATCTGCTGAGCACACCTTTTCCTTTACGCCCTTCAGGTATACCATACAGTAATTCACTTTGCCAAGTTAAGCACACTTTGTTCACTTCTTAAATCCATTTGTTAGTTCAATCATTGTTTGGATTAAGAAAGTGAATCATGCCATGATCCAAAAGATCTGTCCTTCCCATGAACCTATGAGCACACATTTAAAAAATGGTTTATTGTACATCTTTGCATTTCTTAAGGCATGAACAACGGCATACAGATGGAACAGGCTTTGGGAAGCATCCCGCCCTTTTGACAAGGCCAGCACACCACATCAAAAACACACTTGAAGTCTGAACTGACCGACTGCTGTGGCCTGGGAGCTCTTTCCAGAGAAGGGGATGTCTCTTCCAGACAATGGGCCAAACATGTGGTTTATATGTTGTGTTTAACTCTCTTGTTCAGCGTTAAGCACCAGTTACAGTTTGTTTTTCTTTACAAACCCTTCAGACTTTGGATTTTATATTCTGCTCATTTTCTCCTTTCCGAGGAGGGTGTGGGGTTGCCTTTTTTTTTTTTTTTTTTTTTTTTAAGGAATATGGTTGCAGCAAAACAGAAAGGATCCAAAAGTGGTTAGGGGCCTTGTCTAATGCACTTTTGAAAGTCCGTTATAAAGATGAATAGAAAAGCAAATGGTAGGTTTTCAGTGAACCCAGAAACCTTGCGTAGCTATAAGAAACATAATTGTGCATAGTTATTTATTCATTCAGAGTGTGATAGGTGGGCTAGCTCTACATTCTCAGGTTACCAAAGAACAGGGCTGTCTACTTTGCTAAACCCGGGGTCCTTTCGAAGCTCCCAATAGGTGTCGTTAGAAACCCAGGCTTCTCTTTGATTCGCATCAGTAACTTTTCTGTGAAAATATAAAAATCAACATCAGCCACAAATGACATCAAGGTAAACGCGTAACTGGACTGTCTTCTGTGGAAAGACTGGGAGACATAAGCAGTAGCCTGTGTAAGATAATTAGTGTCCTATCTGCTAATGACTGATGATTTAATTATTTATGAGTAGGAATGAATTTATTTTTTTTTACATTTTGTTTGGGCAGTGCTGGAGCTCAAACCCAGATCTACACAAGTGCCAGGCAAGTGTTTTACCACTGAGCTACTCCCTAGCCCCCCACCTTTTTTTTTTTGAGACAGGGTCTAACTATGTAGTCCAGGTTGGCCTTGAACTCAGAGAGATCCTCCTGTTTCAGCTTCCAGTGTTCTGAGATTATACAGGTGTGTACCAACATGCCCAGCACTTTTGTTGTTAAATGTTTGATATGGAAGCAGGTGGGAGAGGAACTGAGGGCAGGAATAAACCACTTCTAGGCAGGGACAGAGAATAAAGAGCCCCAAACAAAGCATATTCATACACTGCAACTAAGAGCTCCCAGCCCCAGCCTTATAGAATTATTTCTGCTTCATTTTCATTTGCAGGGGAAAGTATGCAACATCAGTAACTGTACAAGCCTCTCTGCAGGGGCTCTAACGTGCACCCTGTGGACACCTGACGGACCAGGCTGCATGTCTGCCCCAGGACGGTCGTCAGGTGGCAGCTCTAAAGGATAGGAGGTTAACCTGAGTCTTTCTTTGTTCAGGCCCCAGAGAGTAAAAAGATGGATTTGTAAACTACAGTCATCTGTGTGATGTATATATAACCCTGTAAACATTCCTGCAGTAATTACCTACTATCATACCAAGGAAGGACCCAATCTGATCAGACGACAGCTGTGTGTGATGGAAATAAAATTAAATCCCAATGACCCTGCGGATGTAGGGTCCCATCCAGTCCCTGGCTGAGGGAGTGGAAACAAGTGGCCAGCATGCTAAAGGGTACAGCTAAAGGACAAAGTCCTGGGGGAGATCCATAGTCTTCTACTGCCCATGAGAAGAAAAGGTCTGTAGAGAAGAATTTCTTATTATGATTGTAACTTTTCACAAGTGCAAAACCCGATGCCATTTTTTTTCACTGCCAGAAGTGAAGTTACCAAATTCAGTTTAGTTTTTCTACCCTTAACTTCCCTGGACATGACCCAATTCCACATTTCCTTCTCACCTGGAGTTTCTCATGACTTGTGATGAGCATATGAAACACCAATTTATTATGGTAATGAACTGACTTACTTAAAAAATTTTGGTATATGTTCAAGGTTGTTTTCTTCCATGTATCGTCTTCGAGACCTCTGGAGTTCCTCTACTCTTTGCTTCTCTGCTGCTGCAGCTTCTAAATTTCCCTCTTCCAAAAATCTAAGCAGAAAGCAGTTGATATTTCCATAGGTTACCTTCTTCTTAGGGAAAAAAACTCATTTGCATAAAATTACACTCTGGGCGCTGTGAACATGACATAGCGAATGGTGATGCTCTGGTAAGGTCTCCACACTCTGTCCCAGGGCATGCCTCTGTCTGCCCATCAGCTAACACACTTTCTGTGCTTGCGGACTAATTATTGTATCCACCAATGCTATGGTGGGAGGGAGATGTGAATGGTTTGGACTCTTTGATGTGGAGGCTCTGCAACTTGCGATTTTCAGGACAAGAGTGAGTCTAGGGTGAGAATAGCGTGAAGTCACAGCTGTGCTCCTTTCCCATTGTCCCAAAAGGCACTTGTTAAAGACTAGGAGTGGAGGATGGTAACTGCCTGTTCTCCATCTATTCTGAGACTAGACTGAAAGGCAAGGAGCCTTCCTGTTGAGACTGATGACAAAGAAAGTAACCGTTCGGGTTGGGGATTACAAAAGGCAACTGTAGAAAATAAAATTTTAAAAGGGAACAGGGAGATAGAATTAAAAAGGAAAAAGCAGACCCAATGGTAATTTCCAAATGTCTACATTTCCAAATGAGAGCAAAGGAGAGGGTTATACTATGACAGACACCGTACGGACTTAATCGATAACATTTTAATGCCACATAGTGAGACTGCGTGTTCTTGGGTGTGTGGGGTAACATAAGAGAACTGAAAACATAAGAGAAGTGAAGCAGAACATTCAATCCTGAGAACATTCAATTTTGGCAGAAAACAAAGCCACAAACACATTGGAAACAGAAAACTGACAGTGGGTGGAATTCGTATGGCATATAGAATTTTTGGGAGAGATGCAATGAACTCTGTGGGAGTAGACAACATGAGTATTACATAATAATAAAAGCAAGAATTCAGAAGGCATTAAAGATGCTGCATTTTGAGTCCATCTTGCACCCTGTGTCCAGACCTAAAGCATGCTGGGTCAGCTCTAGACTTTCAGTGAAAACATCTGTCAGTGCTTCCCTTAATTACTCTCTTTTCTTCAGGATAAAAAAAAAACCATACATATTACAAGGTATAGATAAGGAGTGATCTGTATTTAGTGGAAAGTTTGTACATTTGCAGAGCTCGGATAAATTTCAGGGACTAAGGGGGGGATAGTGTTTCTGATAAAAAAGCAACTGTGTTATTGTCCCCTGGAATTTTTATACCAAGATAAACTTGTTATGATGATCCTACAAATACTACTTCACCCCAGGTAGAAAACTTCAATATTGCTGAGTGAATAAGGGAAAGAAGGAAGGACTGAATAAACACATGATGGTGGTAAAAATAGGCCTCTATGCCCTCTAAAGCCCGTGCCCCAATCTAGGCTACACCTGAAGCACCACTCCCATTCCTACCTTTGATCTGGCCGGAATCGGGCATCTGTTGGTGGGAGGAGATCTTTCAGTACAGGATCTAATTCATTGAGCTCAATAGCAAACCGTGTGAAGCCATAATAGAGCTCATAGTTGGTTGGCATGGAACCTGGAATGAGGCCAACGAACCAGTGTGAGAAGCCACAGGCTTAGAGAACAAAAGAAACCCACTCACCCCAGTGCAATCAATACTCATTCCGACATCAAATTTGTAGTCATGAACACTAAATTGTGAATTAAATCAGTTATATTTTGCTAGGTAGGGAAGTTTATGTTGATGACTGGAATGGATAGGTTCATATATTTAATCAAATCTAATCTTTAAAATGAAACTTCACACATAGCAGCAGTCCTCATTGACTAAATTCCAAAATTTTCCTCTCACATACTGAATTGGGTAACTATATGCCAGGTGGTTAACTATGAATATTAAAATTTCACCAGATATACTTGTGATTTATTTCCTTTTAGAAAAAGGAAGCTATGCAGAGCTAAATTAAGACTTATTAGCATTTCTTACTAAACTCAAAGGCAGGATCTTTTGTGCGCTTTGCTCATTGATGCAACCCAAGTTCCTAGCACAAAGCCCGATGTGTGGTCAGCTCTCAGTATGCAGTTTCTAATGAAGGAAATGACCACTTTCCTAGCAGGACCCTTAAGTACTCATCAGTGTCTCTTAGGGAACCAATAGCTGATTTTAAAACTAGAGATTAACTGACACATTCCAGTGAAAACCAATGTCATGTGGAGACTTGCTCCATTTATACCAAATATTCAATTAAAGGCTAATGTATTACCAAAACTTTGTTGATGTCTTTTACTAAATGTCAATATATTGCAGCTTTTACTGCTCAAGCAAAAAGATGACCCATTCTGGTGAATTACTGGATTTGTTGACTGGAGATATTTGTAAACTTCCCTTTATTTTAACACAAGTAAGGCTATGTTGGTGTATTTCAATTATTTAAACTCTAATGAACATACATAGCCTTTGAAAGAGAGGTGCTACATCTGGAGCGATTTTACGTGTTCAATTTCAACATGTCATGTTACTGATGTCAGAGATTTGGCCTAAATTTTTTATTATCAGCTATCAAATCTTGGCTTTTCCATGTAACTTCCATGTGAAGTACAAATGTAACTGTTTTGAGCATCTTCATGTTAAATCCACAAAGCAAACACAAGGTGAACTGCATGGGGTGAGTCCCATTCCCTGCCCTTCTGTGGCTCTGGGGCCTCCTCCAGCCTCACCTGGTCTCCAGATGCACTTAGCGGAGGGGGCCACGCCGCAGTACAGTCCTTCATGCCACTTCCCGAACAGCCGGTGCACTACTTTCCCTTCCTGATCTATCACGACCCCCTGCACTTCATTCACATTGGAATTCCAGTAATTCACCTGGAAAAACCAGACCGGATCAGTTTAGTGACACCAGTATCTCCACAATTTCCATATGGAAAATTTTGTTTATCTTGAAGCCTCTCCTTCAAACCATTTTTGGAAATCTGTCTCAAAATGTTTTATATGCCAGGCTGGGTTTCTAGTATTAGTTCGCTCAACTTTCACGAAGTGGATGACCTCTCCTCTGTGCTGTAGCTTGGTGGAATGGCACAGACAAAGCCCAGGTGCTACCCTAATAGCCTAACATTAATTCCTCTTATCTTGAATGCTTTCTTTACTCATGGATTTAATAAAATTTAATTGACTATGCTGTAGAAATAGTTGATGAATTCTGTAACACACGCAAACATGAAGGTGATACAGATTCCACTTTAGACCACAGTGATTTGGATTATAACAGTGACGGGGGTGAATAAGTTTGTAGTGACCGGTAGCTACCATCTCCGTGGCTGTTCTAGTCAAGTATTTTCGAAAATGACAACTGCATTATAATTAGCTCCTCAAAATAGGATCACTTGAATATGTTGTAATCAAGCAGGAATAGAAATAGAAATAGAAACCAGAAGACTTAGTATAGGCAAGAAGTGTTCTCTGGAATTTTACTTAATAAACTCCTGACTGGCTACCTAAAAAGGAAGATTCTTTAAAAAGAAATTTGTTTTTTTCTTTCTTGACATGGTGCCTTTTTTGACCTCCATTTGTCCAAAAGCCTCATGTCTTGAGAACCTCATAAACTGGTCCTGATTTTCCATCTAAAATGTTCTAAGACCAATAACACAGGACAGATTCTCTTCCTGCTAAGTAGCCATTCATTCACTAGTTCATTCACTGGTTTGAGACAGGGTCTCGCTATGAAGTGCAGGCTGGTCTTGAATTCACTATGTACCCCAAGCTGGCCTCAAATGGTCACAATGATCCACCGCCTTCAGCCTCCCAAGTGCTGGGATTATGAGTATGTATCACCACACCCAGCAACCGGCTGCTATTTGATGTCATTGTTGTTTCTTCCTTAAGAAGCTTTTATTATATTATTACTTTTTGTGTGTGTGTGTGTGTGTGGTGCTGAGGACTGAACCCAGGACCTTCCCACTGAGTTGCATCTCCAGCCTTTTTTTTCCTAGTTTTTACTTTGAGACAGGGTCTTGCTAGGTTGCTAAATTGCCCAGGGGTGTACCACCATGCCCAGTGTTAGGAAGCATTTTGTACTATTTTTTCTTTGCTATTCTATTACATTATTATTTACCTTGACAAATGTGAGTTTGCAAATACAAAAACTGCTTTTGGTATTTCTAATGGTTATTTCTCCATAATGCTCTATCCATCTTCTCCCACTGAGAATGTTGTGAATGCATGTGGTGACCTTATTCCACACATAGTAGTCTCCGTACCTAGTAAAGAATATAACATGGATTAAGAACGACCAAGGTCACAAATACATTATTGTTTCTACTAATTAGAATATCTTTTGGATAAAGCTACCCTCTTCCTCATCATCTTCTCGTTTCCCGCAAGTTTCTGTGTGGTTATACACACATGACATCATTCACCCACTTTAATATCACTAACATGCTTTCTCCCAGCCAGGTGCTAAAGTTACGAAGTGGAAGAGGTGCCTGCTTCCTGCTCCTCGGGGGCCACCAGAAAGTAAGGAGTAGACGGATATGTACACAAATGCTTAGGGTCAAATATGATGAGGGCCCTAACAGACAAATGAACAAAACACCACGCGAATACACAAGAACAAGTCCTTCACCCTTAGATTGGCCTGGGACATGGGGCGAGTGTCACAGAAGATGTCCTAGAAAAGGCTGGGTTATATCTCAACTTGGATGGTGCACAGGAGGGTACTTGTACTGGGCAAAATCCCTGCCAAAGCCCCAGGGGCCAGAAGAGCAGGATGCGCTTGGGCCTGTGATGCTATCCTTAGTCAGCCTCACGGTGTGAGGTAGGGCTGGAAAGGTGGCAACGCAGACCTTCAGGATCTTGTCAAAGAGTATGGATTTACCTTGCAGACAACGGGTCACCTAGGAAGGGCTGGAGGCAGGGAGAAGTTTAACTAGGGTTTACACATAAGAAAGATTACTCTAAAGACGCTTTCATAATTCAAGTTAAGACCAACAGTGGGAATACTGCAATTATTCAGGAAAAAGATGGACAAGCACAATTAAGATGGCAGAAATCTAAAGCAAATCCTGGGGGTAACGTAACAGAATTTTTGGTATTGAATGAAATAGCTTCAATCATGTTTAAATTTGTATATTATATATATATTTTCAAATAAAATGTTATTTCACAATAAAATAAAATACTTCTAAGATCTAATTGGTAAGATGTAGGCACTACAGATATCGAGGAAAATGTCCTTTCTTCCTCATGAATTTTCATAGTTTAGTTCTCTCTCACCTTCCTTCATATCCAATGCACCAGCAAATTCTGTCCTTCAAGTAGACAAAAACAAAACCAGCTTAATCAAGCCTTTGGACTTAATGAAAACATCAATTAATTTTAAAAGATTTATAGGCTCTATCCTATACGCCTTTTTATTTCCTATAGAACACAACTATAAGAGGTCACCTTTATTTTTGTTTGACAAAATAACATGGATCTCATAAAATGCAAACTATTATGGTGTCTGGGACAGCACAGATTATGTAGATTTGACTGATGAATGGAGGACATGGAGAGAGAAACAGGAAACTTTGGTACATTTGTGAGACTTCTCATTGAGTTTTGTGGGAGTCTATACTCAAAACTATGCTCAAGGTAACAGAAACTTTGGGCAGAGAGGGAAATGGACCCTGGGCATCCTCTACAGGACAACATACTCACTTCTGGCTTAGAAAAGCAGCTAACAGGTCAAAAGCAAGAGAGAGGAGAGCAACGTACTTTGGAAGCATGACATTCAGTGTGCCGACAGGCAGGATTTCCATCGACTTCCCCCAGAACTTGTTTTTCCATCTGATATCTAAATGACATGGGTAGAGGATAAAAAAAAATATACTCCATATCTAATCACTTGTTCTATAAAAACTACCTTTTGTAATCTACTGGCAAAGAAGTTTTGTAATTACAATTGATTCTATGTTGTGGATTTGACACGACAAGTTTCTGAAGATGTCCCAAGGTGAAAATATTAATTGCGATTTAAAAATTCCACTGTTGATGCTTCTCCATAATCATGCTCTATATTTTTCTTCAATTAACACACTGGAAGGAGCCTGGAATAAGATATGCATGTGTGTGTGTGTGTGTGTGTGTGTGTGTGTGTGTGTGTGTGTTTATTCACATATACATATGAACAGAGACACTAACAGTAATGGTCAGAGAGTAATAAATGTTAAGTCCTTCTTTCATTTCTTCCCTTTTTCTTTCTTTCTTTCTTTCTTTCTTTCTTTCTTTCTTTCTTTCTTTCTTTCTTTCTTTCTTTCTTTGTACCAGGAATCAAACTCAGGACCTCACTAACAGTAATGGTCAGATAGTAATAAATGTTAAGTTTGTTCTTTCTTTCTTTCTTTCTTCTTTCTTTCTTGTCAGATAGTAATGTTAAGTTCATTCTCTCTCTCTCTCTCTTTCTTTCTCTTTCTCTCTTTCTCCCTTTCTCTCTCTCTTTCTTTCTTTCTTTCTTTCTTTCTTTCTTTCTTTCTTTCATTTTCTTTCTTTCTCTTTCTTTCTCTTCCTTCCTTCCTTCCTTCCTTCCTTCTCTCCATACCAGGAAATCAAACTCAGGGCCTCAAGCTTGCCAGACAGGCACTGTGCCACTGACTACTATATCCCTGGCTACCTGTTCAGTTTTAACTAAATGCTAAAAATAGTTAACATATATATGCAACCTAAGGTGTATCTAAGAATACTTGCAGTATGGAAATATCATGGATTTATATACATATTTTCCCCAGTACATGAAAGGATTACATGATTTGAGAGAACTAAAAAAACAAAAAATTCTCTAAGTACAGATATGGAAGATTTATGAGAGTGGGCTTAATTCAACGAATGCATTCCTACTCTGGTTATGAAGACAGGGCCTAAGGCCCAGCACTTTATCTCAGGATGCCTTTCCATTTTACTCGTGGACACTCACATACACCTGCACATTTATAATGACCACCTAGTCCAATTTTGATGGACCGAGGGAGTTTACTGTTGTTGCCATACAATTTCTGATTCTTGGTTACGACCAAGAAATGATTTACTGTATTATTTTGTTGGAAAACATAGCTACAGTGCCCTATCATTTTGTGTTTTCACGTTAAGGAAATGGTTATGAGAAGAGTTGTTCTGTGAGCAATGACGCACCCACGCAAACGTGAAGAAACTGTTTATACCGAGTGGTCAAATCTACATAATGTCTTTTTCTTTTTTTATTTTATGGAAAAAACCCCAAAATTTTGTAACAAAATAATACAGTTAATACATTGCTTGTTGTTATCTTCAAAGTAGTTACACAGAGTACAAGAGACGGGCATAAAAAATTCTCCAAATATTAGCGCAAACCTTTCTTTTAAATGAACTAAGAGAAACTAGTATTATAACTATCTTGTTTTCTCTCTTCTTTTCTTTTCTTTTCCCTTCCTTTCTTTCCCTTTTCCCCCACCCTAGTTCCTCTTTCCTTCCTTTTCTTTCTGAAACGGTTTAGAAACTGTATTTAAGGCAGGTTTGTAACATTCCGATAGGACTGGGTATTAGTAAGTACAGAATTCAAAGTCCTGAGCTCTAGTGAGTTAACGTCCACAGATCACTGCAATGTTTACACAGGTGTCCCTTGGTATCCATGGAGACTGGTTCCAGGACACTTAGATACCAAAATCCACAGACAACTGAGTCCCTTCTATTAATGGCAATGGCAATGTAGATTATATGTGTATAACCTACGCACATCTTCCCATATACTTTAAACCATCTCTAGACTACTTGCAATACCTAATACAATGTAAGTGCTATATAAATAATTGTTATACTCTACTGCTTAGAGAATAATGACAAGAAAAATGTCTGTACACTGCTCAGTAAAGATACAACTTTTTTCCCCCCAAATTTTCTATCTGGATTGGTTGAATCTGTAGATCCAAAAACCTCTGATATTGTGGAACAATTGGATGATGTGCCATAAAATCTTGCAGATTGGACTCTTCTGCACACCCCAAGATCCAGAAAGGCTGCAGATATCACCTCTGTGGTACATATTGGGTAGCGAGGCACAATGGGATAAAATGACAGCTCCAAGCGGCACATCCAGCAAGGGGCTCTGCTGCTCCACAGGCTTTGCTTCCTAGATAAACAACGTCACCTCCTAGATGACACAGTTTCACACTTCCACCAGGGAGTTTAATTCCTCAAACTGAGCTCCTCAGCAATTACCAATATTCTCTGAATTCAAAGGTAGAAACCTAAACTGAGTACAGTGAATTCAAAAGCTAGAAACTTTCCCATAAATGCATACATTGACTTTAAATTATCACTGAGATACAGACCTTGCCAAAACACAAAATTCTTTGATTCACAGTGACAAGCAGATATGGGTGGATGATGGCTAACCTGGTAATTAAGAAAAAAAAGAAGGCAATGATAACAGCGTCAAACTTCCATAGATGATATATATTTTTGTGATGAAAAACGGTCACCACGAATGAAAATTATAATTTAAGCATTTCTGTAAGCAATTATTCTCAAGATATATCAGTAAATCTGTAACTTTAAAGACTTCTCCCGTAAACAGAGAATTTGCAACCCTCAGTGGTGGTGACAGTGCAAGTAAGCTGAGTTTTCTGTTAATTGGTCCAATCACCTACTCTAAATTGACAGTTGTCAAAAGGTGTTTTCATCACCCGATTGCCTTCCAACCTGTGCAGAAAGCTGACTTACTTGCTCAGAGAAAAATCGGAATCCCTTGTCTTCTCTAATGCATTCGTAAGTTTCCCCCAGGACTGGGTTGAATGGCTTACTTCCTGCCCTGAAATAGGTGGAGCAATAGCCTGAAACCGCAAATGCAGCAACGAGAACCTGTTAAAACATTTGAGAAAGGAACATAATATAGGCGAGACCACTGCTAGGTCTGTCTGTCTATGTTCTTCTAGGGTTTATACACCCGTGTTGATGGGTACTGACTTGATGCCACTTGCATTTTCTATTATTTACGTAAGTCTTCATCAGCTCATGGGCAAAAATAAGTTCAAATGATGTTAAACCACTGCTACGGGAACCAGCGGGCCACGGAGAGCAAGCACTCTCCATTCATACGTCTGCCCAGTCTCATGAGTATCATAAGGCTCAAAAGTCCTCAGCCCAGCTTACAGGCTCCGCTGTGTGTGTCATCTTAGCAGGACATGCAGGAGGGTTAGAGCTGTGGCGCCTGTCAGAGGCTGGGCCAGTTTTCCAGTCATGTGGAGTAAAGGGCAAGGTACCAAGAGCAAGTTACTTTCTTAGAACTAAGTTCCTGCACCGATGGGCTCTCTTGGCACTCAGGAAAAGCTCATAGTGCTTTTAATTGACTTCAACATCTATGGCGTATGATACTTTGCAGCTTAACTTTAGAAATACTAGACTGTACAGAAGTTACAAAATGTGTACCTTCCAGGACAGGCCTTTAGAACCTTTTGTCCCTACTTGATTTTACAACCCAAGCAATTCCTGTCTTACCTATGCAGGGAGAATGTTATGCAAAAACCAAATGTGTCATCATAATGGCTGGTGGCTTATCTCAGATCCTAAGGGCACGGCCCTGTCCTTATTACCATGCGCTCGTAGGGATCATCGGTCTCTGAAGCTTTGTCCAGGAGCTCGCTATACTCGATCTCCTCGCACAGATGCTGCAGAGTGTTGAGTGGCTCGTTGAGCTCTACAGGCATGGAGACTTTCGACAGGTCTTTGCCGATGTTGTTCCTCAAGATGTTCCACAGGTTAATGTTACTGGTGTCGGGGCAAGGGGCGGGCAGGCACGTGCGCCGCCCGTTTCGGAAGGCGCCTCCCGTGAGCTCCCCGTTGAGGACTGGCAGAGGGACAATCACAGTGAGAGACGCTTTGCTTTTCAGATTTCACAAAATCAGGAAGGAAAATAACTCTGATGGTGATACCTTTCTTGAGCCTCGATTACACTGTACTTTCTCAAGAATAAACAGAGTGTCTACTGGAGGTTGTGGACAAATGCACAAAACATCAGCGTATAGTTATTCAAACTAGGTGTTACACATGCTTAAAATAGTATTTAAGAAAAGACAAGTCAAATAAAAATATACATTTAATAAGGATTTAGACTTTGGGTATGAGCAAGAGGCAAAACTTCTTCACTTAAACATGTACTTAACAGATTTTTGCAACTCTTTGTCTCAACAGATTATTATGGAAAAAAAAACTATGGAACAATCAGCTGGAAAATTAACATGGGTGAGAGGGGAATCACTGCTTATCAGCTCATAAGCGTTGGAATTCAGCATGCAGGCAGAAGAACCTGGAAGCTCAGGCGATGCATACTTTGCCGAGAAATATTGTCTGCAACACTGGTGTTGTCTTCTGAGATATTATCACTCACGTCGCTGATATAAGACTCATCATCTGAGGCCTGAGGAAGGGAAGGCAGAACACAGAAGGTATCAGAATTCTTGTTCTGGTTCTTGTTTTGAAAGCTCAGATAGATAATCAAGTGATTAAAAATATCCAAGTATTAGTCAAATGAGACTAATACCACACGTGCAACTCGAGGGTCTTCCATGGGCCAGGATATGGGGCTGCTGGAGAGGAGCCATTGTCTTACACAGCAACTTGCCTTCGCTGGGGTGGAGAGCTGGGGAAGGACAACATAAGCAGAAATGTGTCAGGACACCGAGAGTGTTCATAAAAGGAAGCCTTGCGATTTCCTCCAGAGAATGCAGGCGAGGCTGCCGGTGTAAAGATACTTCAACTGTGTGTTGCAGAACAAACAGGTACTGTCCAGTCCTTACAAGACAGAACTACAGGAAGGAGAATGTAGAAAGGCGAAGGCCACGAGGGAAACATTTATCCTAGAAATTCTGAGAAGTAGGGAGTGGCTCTGACACCGCGGGGAGAACAAGAGGCAAGTATCACAGCGACAGGCTTTTCACGCCAACATAAATGGTTCACATGTAACCTTATGGGTTATTACGGATCAACAGAAATGCAAGGGAATGTAGAGTCAGATTTAGTTTTCAGGAGGGCCCTTGGCGGCTTTCCCAAGGGAGGCCCGTGTGCACAGATCTGGGTAAGAAACACTGATAGGTTAGAATGAGGTGGTTTCCGTGAGGGCTGAGGAAACATCAAGGATGAAGCCACTCTCTTCCTGAGAAAGACACCAAACTTAATTTTGAAACCAAAATTAACAGGAAAGTAAAATTAAAGACCAACGTGCATATGAAGGGGAGAGAGAAACAGAGCAGATAAGAATCTTAAGAGGAAAGGGAAAATCAGTGTCTTTGCTATAGACAAGAATATTGTTAATATTTATTCGCTGTCTCCAAAGAAGACATCTATTTTTCCTACACATAAAAAATACAGCGTTTGTATTGTAAAGATGCTAGAAATTACAGGGGGAAAAACAGATATGTAGGACAATACCCACCATCTGATCGCTAAAGGTAACGACATTTAACACTTGGTTGGATGCTATCTCCCAATTTCAAATGCCTATATAAAGACATTGCTACAGCTGACTTTGGATGCTGACAAAGGAATCAGTTTCTATGCTGCTTTCCAGCATTCTGAATGTAATTCCACTCCAGGGGCCATTGCTCTCTATATTTATTTGGAAAGACAGCATATTTCACTGAACATTTGTAACACAAGGGATTTAACCAGCACTGAAGTGGTTTCCTACATTTTACTGTTACAGATAATACTTGGATGAACACCCTTGTACATCTGCCTGCTGATTTCATTAAAATTTCTATAACTGAATGAACCACTTTTAGGCTTTAGCCACATGTTGCCAAACTGCACTCCTGAAAGATTGCATTATTTTGCTCTCTCCAGCAGCAATGGGGAAAATCCATCTCTCCACGACTACTTATACCACTGCATATTGTTCTTTTTTTTTTTAAGATCTTTAAACATTAAAGATCTGCTTAATGTTTGAGAATTTATTTCCTTATCTTTCATACCATCCATCCTTCCTTCCCCTCCTTCTTCCATCCGTCCCTCTCTTCCTTTTTTTCTTTTTTATGGTACTGAGAATTGAACTCAGGGCCTTTGAATTGAGCTACAACCACAACCCTTTTCTTATATTTTATTTTGACACAGGGTCTTTTTAAGTCATCTGCTCTGGGCTCGAACTTGTTATCCTCCTGCCTCAATCTCTTAAAATGCCAGGATTACAGGCATGTGCCACCAACTGGCTGACACATTTTTTCTGTTGTCATATACACTGCGTTTATCTCTGGCTCACAATGTACTTTTTAATTTTAATTTTAAAGAGAAAAAAAACCAATAAGAAACATTAGAAACAATACAGAATTTCAAAAAAACAAGATGGTATAAGTTCAGCAGTGGTTGTTATACTGCTTATTGTTGTCTTCAAAGTAGTTGTTCAGATTACTAGATATAACCATGCAAAATTGGTCAAAAAAATTAAGCATTAACTGTTGTTTTCAATAAACCAATAGAAATTAGTAGTACAATTATCTTAGCTATCTTGTGTATATATATATTTTTCCCCTTCCTTCTTTCTTTCTTTTCTCCTTTCCCTTATCCTAGCTGTTCTTTCCTTTTGAGTACTTTCTTTCTCTTTCACAATATCTATTGTACCATTCAGATTTTATTTACTCTTTCAGGTTCTCACACTCAGGAGATAATACCACATTCACATGTGCAGGTCTGATTTATTTCACTTATGAGAAGGGTCTCTAGTTGCATCCATTTACCTATAAAAGCCTCAAGTTTATCTTTCTTTATAGCTGAGTATACCATATCTTTTTTATCCATTCCTCAGCTGATGCACATTTGGGCTATTTCCAAGATTTAGTTATTACAAATTGTGCTGCTATAAACATGGGTGCACATATTGCTGTGGTATGATGTTTTCAGTTCTTCTAGGAAAATACCCAGAAGAGGAATAGCCGGGTTAAGTGGGACCTCTAATCCTAGTTTTTTGAGGAACCTCCACACTGACTTCCACAGTGACTGCACCAGTCTACAGTCCTACCAACAATGTATTTTTGAACTTTGTTTATGCCAACCTTTTGGTATAAAAAATTAAACCTATGTAATAAAAACAATTAGCATTTACTTTTAAAATTTCTGGATTTATTGCTGATGTTTTCAAAATTAGAGTTGAAATGAGCTCACACATTTAGAGTGACAGAATGCATGTAGGAATGAAGAGTGGAAGTTTTGCTTTGCACATAGTAAGTCAATAAAAACAGTAAATTGAGAACAAAATCTCTTTCTCATTCCTATTTTCCCACTGTACTTGGCTCCCACAGTTCCATGGATTACAAAAGAGCTGAAGGCTTAGCCATCAGGGCCACCAAAGCTTTTTTAGCTTAGTAGAGGAGAAAAAAATGAAACTCTTTATTCAGTTTCTGAGAAAAAAGCTAATACACTCAAGTATGTTTAGGACAGAACTGCCCCCATGAATCATATTCATAGTGTATGCATGTCTATTGTTTGAATATTTGTTAAGAAACACTCATGTTTATCTCACAAAACTATAAATAGTCTATTTCTCTTCAACTTCTGACCTTTATCAAACTAAGATATCAAAGAGATGACCCAATGCTACAGGTATAAAAGAATTCCACGGTAACAGTGGGCCCCAAGAAAGTCATGTAATGTCATATGCATGTGTGTGGGCAATAGCACAGTTGGGGTTGTCTTGATGTGATCCTCTCATGTCATCCTGTACATAGAATAAGGCTCTTAGTATTTTTTTTTTTTTTTGGCTTTTTTTTCTTCCAGTACCGGTAATCAAACTCATGATCTTGTGCTTGCCGGGCAAGCACTGTGCTGCTGAGCTAAATCCCCAGCCCCGGCTCTTGGTATTATAATTAAATTTGTCTTATTCCCCCATGGTCAAGAAATCTTGGAACTAAATATTGTCTCTACAAACTTCAGGATTCAAAAGAGTTCAGAACTTTTTTTTTTTTTTTTTTTCTAAACATGACCAGACACGTAGCAGAGCAGAAAAAAGTTTAAAAGCAGGCATAGGACAAAAAGATTATTCTAGAAACAAGGGGCCATTTTCTGTTAACAGGTGCTGAGGATCTATTAAGAAAAGTAAAGTGCACCTGTTAAAAGAAAATGGTCCCTTTTCCCTTCAGTCATGGAAAATGTTGGTGTAAGATGGATAATGCCCTAATGCCTCTCAGAGTTATGTGTTAGAGACGAAGCTCTGCCTCCTCTGTTCAGCTAGCAAATACTTATTGAGTATCTGCTCTGGGCTCACCAGGGTTCCTCCGCTGTTGGCGACACAGTGGGAAAAGTCTCTGTCTCTAATGAATTCTAGTGGAGAGACAAGTAAAAAAAAAGCGGAATGTATATTTTGTTAGTGGCAAGTGTGAAGGAAAAATGAGGAAAGAGGGATATAGAAGGTGAGAAGAGACAAGGAATGACAGCTCTTGATTACAGACAGGTCCACCACCATGGGCTTCCCTGAAGGCAGGTTTGAGTAAGGAATGGGAGGACTGATTGTACAGGTCTTGGGGAAGCCCCGCAGCCAGAGTGAATGCAAGGGCAGTGGGCCAATCTTGTTGACAGCTGGAGTGCAGGACACACAACCTGACCCGACCCTGTGGCTGCTGCTAGGGTCAGCACACGTAAAGTCTCTGGGCTGGCTTGCCAAGTGTGTCAGTGTGAGGACTCAAGAGGTCTTCCAGAGAGACCGCATCAGAAGGAAACTTAGAGGCTATGGCAGACGAGGTTCACTCACTAACCAAGCTTTGCTGAGGTGCAGGAGCAACTCTGAGAACATCATAGTGACTGTCACTTGCATTTATCTCCTGACCTAGCTCCGTAAATTGCTATAAAGGAAACGTGTGTATAAAGTTCTTTTTAATAGTCTGTAAAAGATGGCAGGAGTGACTCTGCTGGCTGCTGGAAGGCTCTAGAATAGTATCAGCATGAGGCTGCACCCAAGAGCAGGACCAGATGATAAAGACTGCTGTGGATAGCTAGTAGTTAGGGTGTTAGCCCAAGGATACTGCAGAGTGGAGGCTGATGAGAAAGGACTGCAGGGGATAAGCAAGGCGGCAAGAAAAACAGTTGTGGCACTTGGGCAGTTGTCCAGCGGGAGAAAAGCCGGGGCGCTGCACTGGAGCGGTGGCAGTGAAGCTGCAGGACGAGGTGTGGATGTGAGAGTGAGAGTTTTAGATGACAGAGTGATGAGTGACTCTGTATGGGCAGCTGGGAGAGAACAAATGGGATGGAGGAAAATACACAAGTGTCTGATATGAATATTTAGCTAGAAGAGCCTAAAGCAGTCACTGAGGGGTATGGGTGGACTGTTTCTCTTTGGGGTGGTGGTGATATGTGGGGAAGGGGTTTGTTGATTCTTTTTTTTTTTTTTTTGGACACACAGAGTTAGAGGTTATACGAGCTCCAGGCAGCAGTCTCACAGGCAGCAGTCTCTGGTTCTGTGGATCCTGAGCTGACTCTTTCTAAATCTGCTCTGTCCTTGAGCTTTAGACTTGCCTATTTAAATGCCTGACAAGCGACCTCCTGAGAGGTCAGTAGACTCATGATGTCTCAAAGTAAAGGTACCATTGCCATGCTGCCCTCTATCCTCCCAGTCCTCTAAGGATGCTGCCGTCAGCTTCAATTCTTCCCCAAGGGTGGCACTAACATCTTGCTTGGACCTATGCAATAAACTGCTGCCTGTCTTCTTCACTTTTGTACCTCTAGTACTTAGTAAAAGTGACACTTGGGCACCTAACTGGGTGTGCACCAAGAACTTGGAAATAGGGAAATAAATTTGCTCTCAGAGAGAGAGATTATAAAGTCATTGGATGGGGGGTCTGAGCTCAGATAAGGTGGAGTCAAGTTTGACTATAATTTGAATGAGGGATGGAGTACTGGGTCAGCATGGGAGCTGAAAAGGTCAGCCACAAAAGAAAATTCTAGTAGCATATCCCCAGCATGGTGGACCCTGAGGGTGAGGATGAAAATACCTATTTGTGTGGCAGAGTATCCCTATAAATGGGAGCGGGCATGGAGCCATAACATCCGGCCCTCCTGGCCTTAAGGTTCCCTCAGCTCACTTCTGCTCCCATTCACTGCTCACTAAGCAGCTCCTGACTACAACTAGACTTGTCCTGCAGGTTTGCCTAGAGGGAAAGAGACAGTAACGGCAAGCATTATTATTCTGTCCATCTGATAGCATCAACTGCCATTACACATAATTAAAATAGCCCTCTGGCTTGTGAATGGAAATCTCTCTGAACCTATTAATGCCTGCCTAGAGATCACAGAGGCGGGTACATGCACCGTATGCTAATAAATTCAGCACCTGATGCAAGAATCCTATCTGACATTTCCTCCAGTATAAACATGATATATATTCATTATTTCTCTCCTCATCCCATATTATATTTGTTTCTAAAATTGCTCATAATTCTAAATATCCAAAAATAACTACTACTAATTGTTAGGATGTTTCCTTCCCATTATTTTATTGAAATAATACTTAGCAATGATTTTCTCTGGTAAAAATGTGGTACAGATTTGTAGTACCAAATGATAAAAGTCCTAACTGATTGTATGGGAAAGTTCTGGCTGTTTTCCTTATGAAAAAACAAAACAAAACTCAAAGCATACTTGAATAAATTTCAGAAACAGAATTAATTTCCACAGCCTGCCCCAGAAAGAGGTCCCCAGTTTCTAAGACGTTGCCAAGAGTCACAAAAAATGAATAGCAATCCAATATAGCTTTTGTGGTAGTAAATGGCTAACCCGAAAGAACTATAATTACCCAGCCAGATATATGCTAGACACTACCCTTCTAACTTCCAATTTATGTCACTGGCAAAAATATATAATATGTATGTCTGTATGCATGCCTGAATGGTGATTTTTTTAAGATTCTCCCATTATTCTTACATTTGTTAGCTAGTCATCAACTCTTTGGTTACCCTAAAACAGGAATCATAGACAAAGTCAGAATAAATGTTTGACTTTTTTCCTTTACATTTATCAAATTTAAAAGTACTAAACTGATGCCCAAAAGTATGGTCAAATACTCAGTGAAATGGGAACCAATATAGTTTGCATGCTGCTGGCTCTCCTACAATTTGAGCATCTTACTATGATGTAAACTGACAAACACAACTATCAAAAAATTCCACAATCGTATTCACTTTAACTCAAACTCATGGTTATAAGCTGTGGAGGTCAACACACCCAGCTGCCTTACCTCATTTTCTGATGAACTTGCAGACAGCAGCACCTCTTGGGCGTCAAAGAACTCAGATACAGATTCTGACATGGAGAGGCGGCTCTCATTGGCTACTTGCTGGGACAAGGGGAGATTGACATGGATTTGCTCACCAGGCTGCAGAAAAGAGAAGCAAATGTTACTGTTACTTGTTTCCCGGGTAGAAAGGTATTCCTTCCCATTAGCTGGATTTCTAAAGAAACCCACACTGTGTTAAAAGATTGGTGACCACAAGTCATTTTCACTTGCTACGGTATAAGATTCTTTCTTGGGTGTTACTAAAGATTCTAAAAGGCACAGTGTAAAAGTATGGAACCTCATTTCAGATTGTATTTTTCAAACTCTCAGGAATAAACATTGTTTTCAAGGAAGCGATGTGAGTTTAAATCAGAAAGACTTGTAAACGTGTATTTACATATTCTAATATATATTACAGGTTGACAAGATTTTCATTGAAGATTATTAAACAATTTTTGAATGATAAATTTTAGAAACATTCCTAAATTTTGAGCAGTTGAGTAAATGCAAATGTCACCAAGGCCACAGTCCCTGAAGGTGAGCACACACAGAGTAGGTACTAAGGTCAAAGATAAACTGCCTTGGGATGACCTATCCTACACAGCTAGATGGTTGACCCCTTGCATTTGGAGATTTCCAATGAAATCTATGTATTTGGTTTAAATGTGACCTTATAGTATTAGTTAAAATTCACCTACATGTATCACTGTGTACAAAGCTCTAACATTACTGTCAAAAAGTTTAGATTCTCACAGCCATAGAATAATCATTTTACAAAGATTCTTAAACACAATTACACACTGACGTTTAGCTCAAATTCTGAATTTCTCCTCTTCTCTTACCGTTTCTTCAATCCAAAAAATGGGATAATAGCACCTACCTCAGAAGATTGTTGGAAGGGTCAGATGGGACAACACATGCAAAATGGTTAGCACAACGCCTACCATGCAGCAAGCATTCACTTGACACCTATTAGCTATTAATTATCATTGTTATCAGTAGGGGCTAGAGCAGCACCATCAGTATCATCTTAGCAAGATCAGTTGACTTCTCTTTCTAAACCCTAATTGAAACTTTTTTTTCAGTACTAAAGATTGAACCCAGGGCCTTACACTAAGCTACATCTTCAGGGTTTTTTTTGTTTTTGTTTTTTTTCTCTTTATTTTGAGACAGAGTCCTGCCTCAGCCTCCCAAGTACTGGGATGACACCATGTCCTACTACTAGGAAACCTCTACTTAGCAGCTCCTCAACTAAAAATTTTTTAAAAAATATTTCATTGGCCATGCAGTGATAATGAACATCTTAAATAAAGAATAAAACACAGAAAAGTAACAGGCTGGAACAGAGATATAAATTAAAATTTGGTGACATCAGGGTAAAACAGGCATAAATAAAAATAGACAGTGCTCACCCATAAATGATACCAAACTCATATAGATTCTACATTCCAAAGAACACTGAAATGTCAGCAACACACATATTTATGGAGTGAATATTATTACTAGTAAAAGAATTGTACAAAAATGGACAAAAATATGCAGTAAATTCAGATGCTATGAAATAGGTGCTCTACATCTATTAAAAATGAGTCTTACCTCATCAGGGCTAGGAATAATATTTACACTGACAACCTGATCGCAAATAATAGACTCTGAGTGTATTCTGTTCAACCGACTCCTTAGTTCAGCGTTCTGGTTGAGTGCCTTAAAACGACAAAAGCCACACTTGTAATTTCATATTAAGGAGCAAGCATAGAACAAAGCGAGTACACAGCTTTAACTTTGACAACAACATCTGTGACGCTCTTACTTTTAGAGTCACCAAGTCAGATTCGATCAGTAAGCAGGAAGTAGAGGGCTTAGAATTCAGGTATTAATGCTTTTTGTACTGTAAGGTCACTTCTTAGTAGATTCATGGGCTGAGTTAGTGGACTTTATGAAAATGATACGTGGAATTTTATCTCTCTTACAGTCAGGCCTATACATCCAAGTCTAGTCTACCACCACATATCTATTACCTTCTGGTCTGGGATGAAAATTCTTTCCTTCTCTCTTTCTCTCTCTCTCTCTCCTTCCCTCTGTCCCTCCTTTCTCTCTCTCTCTCTCTCTCTCTCTAAAGTTTGACAGTCATTTCAAAGCTGTAGTTACTGTAACAATTCTGTGGAAATGGGATGAGTAATAAACTGGCTTGCGTTGAGACAATTATATTTAGTCTGGTTAAAGAAAACAGCTGTATTTTCATTCTCTGGGAGTATATAATGAATACACATGGCAGTGGAGTGGAACTCACTCAAGTGCAGACTAAAGGTGCCTTCGCTGACCAGTGTAGACACAGACAACCATGATAAAGAACACAAGACTAACAGCAAACCGACTCCAGGCTAGCTACATCACTCCACTCTCAGCACCCTTGAGTTGGTGCTCACGAAACACCACTTGCTACAACAGAGTTTAGTACGTGCAACAACTCCACGTATTATAAGAATAGAACAGCTTTACATGCACGGCCTCCCTCCAGGGCCCCTGGGGACCAAAGTCAAGCCAGCCCCCCGGAAATGCACACCACACTGCTGTATGTGGATCTGTTACATTAAATAAGACAGGAGAGGGTCACAGAATTTCACCAAGTCTCAAGTGTAACACCTGTGTGAGGTCAAGGCCCGGTGAAAAGATGGGCAATTCTTTTCCTTCCCATTAAAATTAGCCACTGGAAGTGAAGGTGGATGTTCTAAAAGGTCAGCGTCAGGGCTTACTAAGACAGTATCTGCTTTATCTAGAGTCAAGGCACACAGTGAAGCAATACATGCACAAGTATAATATCCTAATTATAACTGTACCTACTAAAACAACCAGGGTAAACACAAAGGAGCAAAGCTCTGAGCTTGTACTGCAGGCCCCGCTCCTGGAGCAGGGAGCAAAAGGTGACTCCTCTCACCTCCCTCCACCCCTGTTCCCACCTCTTCTCTCCTTTCAGCCCAGCTCTTGCTTTCTGAGGGCAGAAGCGTTCACTGGCAGCCTTGGCTTTTTTTTTTTAAAGCCTTCAAAACTCCTTTGTAAAATGCATCAAGTATGTAATACACTTGGTCTGGTGTGTCAAGTACTGATGGATTAAAGGTGGATACAGAAACAACAGCTATTATGCCTGGGGATAGGAGGAAACAGGTCCCTGATTATCTGAGAAAGCAGGGATGAATTAGAAAAACTATGTTCTTAGTAGAGGAAAAACAAATCCAAAACTATGTGCCTCAAAGGAAGACTCCTAATATCTTTTTAGCCTGTAAGAGTGCTCAGGATAATTTTTCTTAGGGCAAAAACCTTAAATATTTAAAATTACAAAAAAAATAAAAACTATGTTGATCTTATCCTTTGTGGCTATTACAGGCTTGTGTACTTGTTCTTGCGTTATTTCTCTGCCTAGAAGTATATGTAAGTTGTCTTGGTTATTAAACTCTTTACAAACAGATCTGTTTTGTCCCGTGTGAGCGGGTGGCCTCATGGCAGTGTTTGATGGGTTTAATTGCAGAACTACAGTCTTTTGTTTTTTTTTTTTTGGTTTTGGTTTTTTTTTTTTCCGGTACCAGGAACCGAACTCACGACCTTGCGCTTGCCAGGCAGGCGCTTTGCCGCTGAGCTAAATCCCCAGCCCCCAGAACCACAGTCTTAACCTGAGGGTTTTATACAAACCTCAACTAATGGTTCCTTCAAAATGACTGCACCTTTTGTGGCTGCTGGAATGATGTTAATGAAATCCGACAAAAACTCAAAGGCAAGCACAAGAAATGCTTTTTTCCAGCATGGGGATGTTAAACACAAGTTTGCTGTTTGGAGGAAAGTGTAGAATTGTTTTCTCTGGATGTTTAAAAATGTTAAATGCTCAATTAAACCCTTTCCTTATTTACTAAATATGATCCTGCCTAACAGGTATGTGTGCCAGCCACCGGATAACCTCTAAACATTAATATCAACAGAAAATGAGGGAAAAGTGGTTTTTAAAATCTGAAAATGTCTTTTTTTTTCTTTTATTAGATGTAATGTGAAAAATAAAAAATCCTGGACTGGGAATCAAAGATGAGGTTTTCTTGATCTGAACGGTAACTGGTCTTGAGCAAGATGCTTAGTTTTGCTGCATCTCAATTTCTTTAGGTAAAAAATAAGGCAATGATACTGGATAACCTTTAAAGTCCACTTAAATTTGATTGAAATATTAAATCAGAATCTCACATAGCTTTTTGATTATCACTAGGCAGAGCAAGTATCCTTCCAGGATAATGTAAAAATAATTCTGGTTTGTATCTGAGTCTTACACAATGGAAGATTTTCTGTTTCCAATGGGTTGATATTAAGTATCTGGCTCTCTAACAGGAACATAAAATATTTTTACATTAAATGAAAAATTTATTTTGTCATTCACTGGGATGGTTTGAAGAATTTTTAAAAAAAATCTGTGTCCTTATTTTTTTTTTTCCGGTACCAGGAATCGAACTCATGACCGTACACTTGCCAGGCAGGAGCTGTGCCGCTGAGCTAAAGCCCCAGCCCCTGTGTCCTTATTAATCACTTCTCTTATTGTTAAAACTCTCCTCAACTGACAAATGGGTAGCAAATAGGTAGCAAGGGGATAAAAGAGAAATTCTAGTTAAAGTATTTCTTGAGATGAATAATAATAGAAGTGTTTATTCTTTAATTTTTTCAAACTTTAAAAGTATATTTTTTGAAATTATATTTAAGATTTAAAGCCAAGGGCCTGTCATCATCTACCAGTACTGGTAAAGAATTACAGTTGATTGCCAAAATAGTAATATTAGTATTGTGCCACAGGTAAGCAGTGTTTGGCTCTACTTTAAATATACAGCAATGCATTTTAGTACTTCTCCTTGAGAGACTTGGGACAAAAGTAGAAGACCCCATCCTGCTTCTATTATTCCAAACATGTGTGGAACTCAAAGCTAAACGTTTAAAAGGCATACTTTGGTTACTAATATATATGTGGTGGTGGAGAAAAGTTGTTATACAGCACAAAAAGCATGAAATAAATATCCATCTCTGGCAGCCCCAGTGGCAGAGAGTAAGCCGCTCAGGGAGCATGCAACAGCCCATTTCTGTGCATCTTACCCAGGCTGACTCCTCCTTTTGCCTTGATCACACAGACTGTTTCTGAAGGTTGCTAGAACCAAGTGCCCACAGCTGCGTGGTACAGCACCCTCAGGCCATGGCCAGGACCACATTAGGATGTACCTCCCTGAAACTCCGCTTTCTCTGTACTGGTACCATAGAAATTCTGAGAATACTGCAGAATACAGACATTGTCAGGGAAATGAGGCTCTCAGTGATAATTAACATGACAGAGCCCAGAAGATGGCTGAAATAATGTAGAGAATGTCCTCAAAGAGAGCAAACAGTGGCAAAGCAAGGAAAATGGAGGCAGATCCCCAGCCACTGGTGCCAGCCACTGAGCAAGAAAAGCTACCGAGATGTGTCAGTAATAGTACTGTTCTACTAGTGACTGCAGGGCCAGCGTCTGATCCGAGGGAGCACCCGGGAGCCAGGAACTGTCTCTAAAGTCTTCGTTAAGTAGGTTTTGCACATATCCTCACTACTCAGTTAAGTGGGCTCGTACCGCACTAAAAACTGCATGGCATACTCATTTCCCCATGACGGTGTCTTTCACATTCAGTCGAATATATCCAGGAAACATACGGTTCCTCATCAGGGCAGAAAAGAAGCTGCCATTTGAGTTTCTGAGCCAGACTCAATGACCTAAATCCCTACATATGTAGCTATTAACCTTGCAGACAATTGGTGAGAGTTTACGTTAGACTGGGTGAGACTGTTATAAACATTTTACTCAGTGGAACTGTGGGTCTGGGAAGGAAACCGGCAGCCTCACAGCTGAAAGATTTGAAACATACTGCAAGAGAGAATCATCACAGAAGCAAACCCTCCGGATAAAAGTAAAACTGGTTCAGTATAAGTGAGAAATTAAGTGTGGAAACTGTCAAAGACAGTGATGTCAAAAACCAAATGCTGGGTAGCTCTTTAAAACCACCTTTGATTTTTTTCAATTTAAGTACTATTATATTTGGAAAATGCAAAATATAGAAAAGTTTTTTTCTTTTTCGGTACCAGGAATCAAACTCAGGACCCTGCACTTGACAGGTGCTTATGCCGCTGAGCTATATCCCCAGCCCAGAAAAATATTTTTAAAACTGCTTACCTTACTACTCAACTGTTGGTGGTTTGGTATATTTCTTTCTAACTTCTTTCCTATTCATTTTCTCACATTGTTTACTGGGTGCATAGTTTGTACCCTGTGTTTGCCCCTTATTCTTTGCATATAAGCATTTCTTTTATGTTGCAAGCTTTTCAGAAACGTCATTCAGTTGCATAATAGGCAATGATTTCCTATTATTACACTTGTAATAATTTTTACCAGAGTAAACAATGCTGCCATGAATATTTATGTACATGATTATTTTCTATATTCAGCATTACTTCCTTAGACTAGTCACAGCAACATGACTCACAGAGTCAATGGGTAAAAACTCTTTAAGGCTTTTTAAATACTGCTAAATTATGGGCAAAATGACAGTAGTTTAAACGTGACAGATACTTTAAAAAATAAGATATATAAAGGATTCCATGAGAACTACCTTCATGTACAACACATATAGCCAAATCTCAGGAATTGTGGCATTCAGAAACAAATAAATAGATTTGGAACTTTTATTCCATCACAGAATATTTATTTTGGGTATGTAAAATGTTGTGGACAGGAAGAATGACACATACCACAATTGGAATTTTGAAGTATGCCACTCTATGCTGAGCCAATGTTTTGCTCCTGTTCTCATATACACCACATCTCACTGATTCTAAGATGCACATTCCTCCCACAATGAGCATATCTGACGCAAAGCATCAGTTCAATTGACAGTAATGGTCCTTTTCTTTTCAGCAATGCACAAAATAATAATGCATCCAACAATTGATGGCATGTGAATTTAATGAAACACGGTAATTTTAGCTGGAGTAGACGGATAATATTTTGTTGCTTGCATTCCTATGGACCTGATTTCCTACATTTAGCACAAGCTTTACACAAATTCTGTGCCCAGAAATCATAATAATAACAGTGATATAGCGTAATATACTGTGCATGGGAAGATAAACTCAAGTAGAGTTGGGTGCTAAGGTTGTCTTCATCTTACATACTATGGTGCTTGATTTTGATGTTCGGGTACCACATAAAACAGAACATGAAATTATAGCTGATGTGTAATAAGGTAGTCTATAAGGGATAGATTCTGCATAAAATATCCTGCCCTGCAAGCATAAGCCCAATACTATGCTGTCTTTCAGGTGTGGAAGTTAATTTAAGTTTCATGGGGGTAAAATAACAAAGTTGTGTACATGTTTGTACACATACAGATTGGGGCAGTAATATTATTTTAGAAGAGGAATTCATTTAACTGTCCAGCCCTCCACATTGTTATTCACTCCAGGCAAGTAATAATTTATGCTGAACATGTAGTGAAGAATAATTTCACATGTTTTATATACTATGTGATTTCTAAAGGGCTGCCTGACAGAATTTGTGAAGTTGATAGATGTACGTAAAGACCTCATTGAAAAGCAGCACTTTGATCATTAGAAACATATCAACTAAGACTTGTGTCAAATAAAATATAAGCTTAAAAATGTGAGGCTAGTTAAAGTTATTTAAATACCATCTCTCTCCTAGCTTCCTTTTCTGTGGGAAGACCCACTCATGAAGAAGATAACTGATGACACTTGAATGTGGACCAAAAATGCCTCAGGCTACCTTAAAATGACAGTATCATGTAAGGTTGTACTAATATAAAAATATACTCAGAGCATGGAAGGCAACTGTCTCCATGTACTCAAGCTATTGAGGATTTCTTCAATCTTAATTGCTGTATTACAGTCAGGATGGTGAAGATAGACTAGGCTATCAGGGATGGTTGCGTAAGTTGTCTCCCACCTTCAACATCTTCAGCTGGCTCCTTCTTTTACACATGCTGTGATGACTGCAAATTCCAGGGTTAACATTCAGGCTACGTGATACTTGCTGTTAACCAGATGCTGTTAAGTTTTCCCTTCGTGAGACTATTAAACCTCTACTCTTGACCTCAGTGGTCATCACTCCTCAATTCCTTGACTGCTTCTTCTGGGTCTCCATCAGAGAATCCTTTTTCTGGGCCTGTTCTTAAAATATTAATGTGCTCCGTAACAAGCAGCACCAGTACCACTGCATCTCCTTTATTCTGATTGGAAACAGCGATTCACCAACACCTGTGACTGCAATGACATACTGTGGCACCCACATCTTTCTCCCTGAGCTCTAGGTCTTTTTAGCCAATCGTGTGCTGGATGAGCCACAAAATTGCTCATCATACATTTCTGACAAACCACTTCCACTTGTTCGCTTTCTTGGGGAAAGAACTATCATTTCCTACGTAGCTAAGTAAAAAACCTGGAGCTGACTCTGTCTCCTTCTCTCTAACATTCAGTTGATCTCCAAGCGATCACACCTCAGTGTCTCTCCAACCCATCCTTTCCCTACTGATGCTGGTACCTCCTCAGCTCAGGAATATTGTCTCGGGTATCACTAAGACATTCTTGAATTATTTCAAATACTAAAAGTCTGCTCAACCAGTTTTGCTTCAATTTCATTCAACCTCATACCATGGCAGGCTAATCTTTCCAAAACACAGAAACACGCAGTAATATTTTCAACATGTAGCACTACCATTATCCAGTTAAAATTCAAGTCCTCCCATCACCGCAGGATAAATCTGAATTCCTTTGTGCACACCCTGATGCGCAGGTTCCTACCCACTTACATAGTCCTACAGTCACTTCCTCGCTCACTCCATTCTTCAGTCACCTCTCCAGTGGTCTAATCATGGATAGTTATTCATCAGATAGGAATAAACTGTCAGTAAACTCAAATGTCTAAGCAGAGGCTGCAGTGATTTCTAAAACAGCCTCTCGGTGGTAAGAGGATCAGTGAAGGAGTACCTGGTCCAGGGGAAGGGCATGGGTGGATACAAAATGTGAACACAGCTAAAATGCTGTGGCAATGCACAGTTCCAAGCATGAACTTATCTAGAGGATGGTGTGCAACAGTCTTTGGAGTGCCCAAGGACTTTCACACCTTTTGAGCCCTTTGGCTAAAAAAGATCTAAATAAAACAAACAAAACCCAAAAGGTCCAACAAAAAAATCTACCGAGGCCCTGACTTTAGATGCAAATAAATGTGCATTGACCTCAGTGAGGTCAATGAGAGGGAAATATTTTACCCAAAGGGTGCAAGTTTATATAATTTTGATTTCTTTTAATTTTATGTTAGCAGTAGGCTCTTCCTGGGCTGTTTCAGAAGTGTGATCTGTGGCTCTGCTCTCAGCTAGGGATCTGTCATTCTTCCGAACAAATGGAGCCTTAGAAGCCTGCACTGCTGTGGATGCTGCGGTGTGGTCCCTTCTCTACTGTCCCTGGGCAAATACTGCTCATCTTCCCAATAAGGTCATGAGCTTCTTGGGGATCAGACACATGGTGCTCCATTATCTTGCACAATACCCGGTATACAGCTAGTTGAGTAAAAGTATGAACAAATGAATAACTTTCAAAACTTCTCTTCCTAATCACTTCTAATTTCACCTGAAGCTCAAACCTAGATCTCTAGCAATGATTCTTATCGAAAAGCAAATGAAAGCAAGCAAGCAGCAAGCAAGAAACCAATTTTCTTAGTACATGTTTGATTTACATCTCTAAGCTTCTATCATTACATACTTAGTAAGGGAACATTCCAACATTTAGGGGACCAAGACTGTATTTTATGTGTTCATAAGAGAACATCGGTATGTATATTTCACTTATTTTGATTTTTCTGATTCATGACACTCAGAATAACGATTCGTAAGATCAACTGATGTCAACTGAGTGCCGGACAGCTCTGTGACATGAGAAGAGTCCAGAAGAACCTTTAAGGGCTCTTGTGAGTGAACCCCTCTGCGGGCTGGGAGGGTAGTGCTGCTGATGCGCATGCTCCTGAGCCCCGGGCATAGCACTGGAAGCAGCGTGCACCATGGTGAATGCAGGAAGTGTGGCCAAGTAGCAGCAACCAGGACATAAAACTTCACACTGAAAATACGCTGACGATTCAAGTACATAAGACATGGCGATATAGTTTACGTCTAAGTTTTAGGGACTGAAGTTAGTTATTCAAGCAGGGTCTGATTCACACAGAGAACCACTTACCCAGGATTTGCTTGCTCCTTCACTCTGATCCAAGGCACCAGGAAGTGAATAATATTTTATATAAACACTGAGTTCTCACACAAAATCATATAACAACATTGAATTCTTAAAGGAATTAAAATAAGTGCATTTATGGACTAACTGGAGAAAATGTTCCCCGCAGAGGAAATTCTTGGTGTAAAAAGACATATGCAGAACTTTTAAGGATGTGTAGCAGAAATCTCAATTCCGATATACATAGGGACTTGATTATATTAACAAGATCAACTATATAAAACTATTGAAATGCAAAAGTCTAGCTTCAGGAAACATATCTTAGGAAGAGAATCCCAAAGGAGCAAATCAGAAAAGAAAAAAAGAGAGCTCATAGTAATTACTAATTTTCAACAGATTAAAATCTAAGTGGAAAAAATTATGTATACAAGGTCTAGGAGACTTTGTTCTATTTACCACTGGACTGAATATATTCTAAAATATATTTTAGATGTATAAATCATGTATATATATCTAGATGCTTTTTCTAAAAAAAAAAAAAACCAGGGCTACCTTGTAAGTGACCTTAGTCATTAAGTATTGAACTAGTCAAAATAACAATTCTATGCATGCAGGCAATTGATGTGTGCAAGCATCAGTTTGGTTTATTTTCACTCCTACCTTGACATTTTTGGGAAGAAAGATAACCAAGTTCAATACTGGCACTGCAGTGTCTCCAGAGAATGCCAGAGGAATGTGCTATCCCCAGGACTGATGCCTCCACCCCCAGCTTTTGCCCAACAAGAGTTGAGACCATGTCACACACGTGAAAATGAACATTCTCTTTACCTGAGACAGTGACTGCCGGAGCCGGGCCATCTGCGTGCTGTGGCCTTTATTGTGGTCTTGCTCGGAAACCATCTGCTTCAGCTTCTCTTTCTCTATGGCTATGCTGTTAAATGCCGACTTCAAAAGAGAATGCACTGGGTGGGCAGAAAAGTGAGAGGCAGATCTTAAATGTATCCAGAAGGAACATACAATATGATAAACGCCTCAGGATTTCAGCTCATACCTAGACGTTTTCTAGAAAAGCTATGTTGCTGTCTAATTAAAATCCGCCTGAAGATGAATTCTTTTTTTTTTTTTTTCTCCGGTACCGGGAACCGAACTCACGACCTTGCGCTTCCCAGGCAGGCGCTTTGCCGCTGAGCTAAATCCCCAGCCCCCGCCTGAAGATGAATTCTATCAGGGTACTGTAGCTATACACAAAACAAATATGGCAATTAGAATGAATTCGGGGGAACATTTTTGTATTTCATACCAGTCAAGCCAACCGAGATTTGGAAATGTCATATATCAATTCTAAATATCAATATGTAGAAATTAATTTACAATCCTGAAAAAGGAACATATTTTACTTGCCATATTTGATAATATTTTGAGCAGTTCTGTGTAGCACAAATTGCCACACAAATCATGTAGAATTAGTCAAAAATTATTTCCCAAAAGCACACACCCTAAAAGAGCATTTTATGACTCCTGTCAACACAAAATAGCGGATATGGAAGTTCTGACTTGCTTCCTTGGAGGCAGGAAAAGAGTTAGTCTAGAGAACATCACCTGAGCTGCTGTGTCAGCCAGCAGTGTCTTGATGCCCAAGGTGCTTGGGTCTAGAAGCGACAATAAAACGCCACCACTTGCCCCATTTCCTGCACACTTCACACCTACATCGGTACAACTCTGAAGCAGGCTTTCATCCCGAGCCACAAAAAGCTAACTCCTATTTTCTTACAAAGTTTCTCTGCCATGCAAAGTCTCTGAGCTAAAACAGGTATTTTCCAATTTAGGAAAAGTTATTTTTAAAAGAAGTAGAAAATTTTAGCCCAAAATACAGTGGCCTGAATTAAAGGGGGAAAAATGGCAGGATCCCAAGGGTGAATAACCGATTCCTTTAAGTACAAGCTTCCGTCACCAACGTACAAGTAATAACTTACAGCTGGAACGCATTAACCCTGCTGGTGGCTCTGAAAGCAGGCTCCTCACCCACTTTAACACTCAAATGCTTTCCAAGCAGCCATGCAACACTCACGGAAAGGGCCCCTTTATTTTTCTAGCTTAGAAGATATGTGTGTCTGTTGAAAAGAAAACAGTTTCAAAGGAGGCTTTAAAACTGTTGAAACTTGGATTTCCTGAAAGCTTTCAGGATTGTGAACAAACAGACAAAGCTTTCCTGGGGCTGCCTGCAAATTAGTGCACACCTCCTGCTAACAGCTGTGCTGTGCCATGCTCTTAACTCATGCGTAGTCTATCAGCGGCTGCCCCGCCCCAGGAGTAAAAATTACAGACTGTGAAGCTATGCTGTTACACGAACAATATTATTACTGTTGCCTAATAACATAATTAGCATCCTGGTAAAAATGCAGGAAAAATGCACTTGCTAGGAGTAAGAAGTCAGGTGAAGCAGGGCTGACCTTATAGTATCAACTGACAAAACTATAGGAAAAAGGATAAAAATGATCTTACTTATTTGTTTTAGGATTATGGAGTTAAATATCTGACTATGTGTTACAAAATCACCTCTTAAATACCCAGTATCTGCAATTTAGAATAGCACAGTAAGAAGAAAGTTAATTTATCAGCACTTGGGAGGCTGAGGCAGGAGGATCACTGTGAGTTTGAGGCCAGCCTGGGCTACAAAGTGAGCTCAAGGCTGGTCTGAAGTATATGGTGAGACCCTGTCTCAACAACAACAACAACAACAACAACAACAACAACAACAAAAACCCAAAGAAAGTTAATTTAGAGGCCAAGGCTCTTTGAGAAGTTAACTGTGAAGCCTACCATCTTTGCTTGTGGTTCAAGGTTGTAAACCTTTGTTGAGTTCAACATTCCCAGGGATGCCCACCGTCCTTCTTTTCCTGAACATCAGGCTCTTGAGTATCAGGCGGCACAGAAGATGCGCCACTTAACACATATTCTCAAGGATATTTTATAAATTATTACCAGTAGCCCCAGGGGAAATAAATGATTAAATATGAGTTCACCGTAAGGTGTTACTGACTGAAAACAACACAACGTACCTTTCTCAGGAGCTTTTAACAGACCTGAGAAGGTACTAGTCTAAGTCAACTGATGAACTTCACCAGCTGTTAGTTACATACCACAGCGTGAGAGGGGAGGTAATCTGGGAGCAACACAGATAGGACTTGTCAGTCCTCTTACATCCTACTGTCCTGCTTCTTACTCGTTGTACCCTACTCTCTGGGGCTGATAACAATTAACTCACACAGCAAAGCTTACTGAAAACCTAACACAAAAAAGAGACTCAGCGGTGTGGTCTCTCTCCCAGTCCCTCAAATCTGGGCTTGCCCGTGATGCTCTGAACAACGGCAGAGTTTAGTGGAAGAGACACCGCACCAGTTCCAGAGCTGGCCTTGAAAAGAACTAGCAGCTTCCACCTCCAGCCTGTTGCAGCCCAAACTGTCAAGGACAGGAGGAGGGCCACAGTCACGGGCAGCCTTCCAGCTGTCCTGCAGATGTGCCGGGCACAAGCGGAAACCACTCTGGGTATTTCAGATCAGCTCAGCCTCTGGCCAAACACTACTGATTGAGCCTCGTCTGACACATGGTGCAGAAGCTTGGCTCTTGGCTGAGCCCTGCCTGAATTCCTGACCCAACGACTGTAAAGTACAGTAAGTGAATATTGTGTTAAAAAAGTCAAACAGAATCTGTTTTTTGCTTGCAAAGGATAAGCAATAAGTATGTATTAAAAAGATATTTTAAAAAGAGATGAGTGGTAGCACCTAACTGGACTGTTTAGGATGACCTTTTTTCTCCCCCCAACCCCAATGTGTTCTCCCAAGAGGCAGGAGCCTCATCCTGCAGCACACTGTGTGCAGATGTCCCACTGCATATAAAACCATTTCATCTTTCTACCATTATCACCTAAACAAAGACAAAAGAATAGATCTGTTATCAAACAATGCTCTCATCAAAGAAGAGACCTTCTTTAAAGGGCACATTGTATTTGCCCTTACCTTTCTGTGCAATTAGACAAAATTCTTCTTGCAGCTTTGTATAGTCTGTTGAACTTTCCAGAGGGTCAGTGAGGTGGCTAGGGGGAGTCTGAAATTCAATATCTGCACAAAGGTTGGGGTTGGAGGAATGCAGGCGAACTGGTGACATGGTGGCACTGAAAGGGACCTGAAAGGGGAAACACAAATTATTGAAGAGTAACCGTGCACCAATCCACCTTCCCGTACACAGAAAAGATCCCTCTTATTCTTTAAAATAATAGATCCCTCTCTGATGACATGCATGGGGAGGCTCAATACTCATTTATTTTGCAAGTAGCTGGGCTGGGAAAAAAGAGTCTCATTTCCCATAGTTGATTTAGAATGTCAGGGACTCACTGGTTTTTCTGTTACAGAGAGATGACTGCAGAACGACAGGAAGAAAAGGAGTAATTCACTTCCACTCTGAACCCACACTTGTACATAAAAAAAATTACTGGCAGAAAGCTGCAGTCTGAACTGATATTGGTGACTTTCTCTTACCAAGTTGGAGCAATTATATCGTAGAACTGTTTTATGCTCACCTGAGGTTGGAGCAGGATCTTACTAAATATGTAAAAATTTGAGACTTGTATACAGATTCACTTCCTCCCTAGCCATTAGATAATACAAAACAAGTTTAATAGGAAATAAAAGAATGGCCTAAAGAGATTCACAATTATTCTGGCAAAAAATTTACTAAAATGTATATTATTACATGGAATATATACTGTTTACATCATTGTAATTTACTTTTCTATATTACATACCACTCCTATTGATCTATCATCTATCTATCTAATGAACTGGCCAGTGGTGAAAAGCAAAATATAGAAAATGGCTAGAGGTACTTCCTGGTCCAAAGCTGGCTCTGGACTAGGCCTATGATGGGTGATGGAAAAGCATCTTTTCTTCCCTTCCTCTTCAAGGAGGTTCTACCTGAGCATTACAAATGCTATTTGCCAAGCGTTCTTAGAAATGCCAATTTTTGCTTCAAGTCAGATCACCAATAACTTTTCCCTGTTACTATATAGATGTTCATTCATTCATCTTCACGTACTGTAGTCCAGATTCCAGGCACAGCTAAGTGTGGTATAACTGAAAGGATAATCTCCATGCCCTACCTAACAGGAAACACGCTGCCAGAGGCAGGAAATAATACCTTGTTTCTTTGATCATATATATATGAAACATTCTTTTTTTGCTTTAAGCTTCCTAACATTTGATGAGTGAGAGCGGAAGAGGGTGCTATCTCTAAGGAGACAGAGGAAGTGGAAAGAACCAAAAAATTTAGCCTTAGATACAACTGAGCCTAGACAGAGGCCCTTCTGATGTAGCTCTGTCCTGGCAGGAAGTTCTTTATCTCGAAATATTTCCAAGGCTTACTGGGGAAGTGAGCATGATGCTTCCCTCCTAAATTCGGCTAAGCACATTAACAGGTATTGTGCAAAGCATTTGGTATCTGCAAGTTATCAAGTCACTCTTCTCCATCCTCTGTGGGAACCCTGACTATACCCGGCTGGGAGATGTGGACAGCTTGCTTATTTTACAGGCTCAAAACTTCTGCCCCTTCCAGATTTGAAACAGAGAAGTGGCAAATAAGTTATCTGAGAAAATGGAATGAGACTTAGGTGGTGCGCTGTCTGAGGACAGACAGAGGGAATTTAACTGCAGTGATGCTAACCCTAGAAAGACCAGTGAGCCCATGTCCCTACTGGAGGGAAACGGAGAATGCAGGGAGAGGTTAGTGCAGATTAGGAGCTCACAGGGAGAGTGAGAGTCAAAGACATGGGCAAGCCAGAAGATTTTCAGACTTAAAGACAGGACTTCCTGATACAAAGAACCTCCAAAGAACACTAGGGAAAAAGAAGGTGAGTGTCTGGTGAGAGGGATGTACATGTTGAGAATCATGGAAAATGGTTTTATGGGCACCGAGGAGCCCTCACCGATACCATGACGTGGCTGATGCTGACTTGAGTCTGTTCTGTGTGAATTTGTGAGAGGTCATAGGGGCAAGGATAGGCTGCAGAGGAGCCCTTCCTTACACAGGGAAAACCAAGAGAGCCCAGCGAGGACCTACACTTGACCCTGAGATAATGTCCTCTTTATTAAACGTGGGACTCAGATGCTAAGAAGAAACACGTAAGTTACAAATATCTATGTTGAACATAATGGAGGCTTAAAATGGCTATGAAAACAGGAAAAGTGGTTTTCTATATTTCTCACAGGGCCAGGGACTTGGAATGCTCCAAACTGCAATCAGACAGTTCCCCGTGAAACTGAAAAAACTGAAAACTAATTTTTACATACTTCCGACTGAAGATGCTAATACTGATATCTTTCTTATTAACAGAAGTGTGTTGAATGGGTCATTTTAATTGAGAAATTCAGGAAATAAAATTGAGAACACAAATTGGGATGAATTAATCTACGTAATTGAGTATTTCTTCAGCCTGAGGACTTATTTACTCAGATTTTCATTCATCAATTTGGATATTACGTGATTAAAAATTTAAATGCTGGCTATTTCCTCTGTCAGTGATGGTTGGCGTGGGAACTGCCAACAGCTCCCCAGGTGTATACCTGGGGATGCTTCAAGCAGGGCTTGGGTCTTTAACTTGCTCAGGAAATAAATCCAAGGCTTCGCTGAAATCCTACGATTGCCAGGGAAACCTGACCCTAGCATATTCTGGGACCAGTAAGCGTGGTCTGGAGTGAGGACGATAGGAGATGCTCTTAATGCTGGTCTATGAAGAAGTCAAGAGAGAAGTGAATTGAGAGTGGAACTGCTGGCTCCAAAATTTAGCAGTGGTGAACGTGAGAGAAAGCACAGACAGAGGTCTAAGATGGATCACAAGCTCACCGGACTGGGGGCCAGTGGGAAAAGTCCCTGCTCTTGTCGTCCCTGCTATGTGTACTGGCTGCCTTCAGAGGCACTGCCTGCTCTGAGATCCTCATGGAAGAGGAGGGACCAGAATTTCTGGTTCCAACCTCCTGTTCTGTGGGTCTGGCTGATGCTGCAGGGCGGCCACTCTCAGTGCTAGTGTTAAGGATCAATGAGGATAAACATTGGAAACACCTTCCTTTGGCACAATCTCATCTGCCACAGATATCAGAGTGGGTGAGGAAAGAAGTGAGTAGGAGTCCTTTGGAAGGATTCTAGGTAAAAGGCTTCTGGTAGGGAAAGAGAGGGTCGATTCAAACTCATCACATTAAAGTAGGAATTAAAGGGAACTACTGCAATAGAAATACAGATCGAGTAATCAGCATCAGGTTGCTGGGGTGAGGGAGAGGGGCTGCGGGATCCAACTGATGGCCCTGCTCAAGGCTGCTATTTCGGTGGGGACGTCAAAGCTACAGGTCCTGGATGGCTTAGGGTAGCCATTCCCCTGACTTACTCCTGAAAACATTATTAACCGTGACCGGTAGGTTTTCTCATTAGACACTTCTAACTGCTGTCACAGCTACATTGGGATATGGGTAAATGATTTTTTTCTTTAAGTTTTTCTACCTTCCATTTAAAAAAGATAAACTTTTTCTATTCAAATCGGTGCTAATCCCAGCTTTATTACATTCACTGTATCTGCAATTTTAAAAATTAACATAGGCGAAAGATAATTACTTCCTGGCATGTTATCTTAAAAGTACATTACTTAAGGAAACTGTTTTCATAAAATGAATGACCTTTTTTCTCCCACTGTGCTGTTGTTCTCGCTCTAATAATCATTTGGACTTCTTAATTTTATAAATTAAAATTACATTTAGGAATTATTTAACTGCTTGTACATATATCTGTCAGAATTTGTCAGCACATCAATGTCCAGATTTATTTATCTGCATTTGAAAACACATAGAAAGTATACATTGACCGTGAAAGCAATTTCTCAAATTTATTGGTTCAAATGTTCACAAAACTGTGATTTTGAGTCAATTCCCTAATAAATTCCAAGACACTGGTTGTCTCAATGATCAAAACCATTTCTGTTCCTCAAACAATCCAGCTGAACACCTAGATATAAAGCCAGAGACAATTACTAACCATAAAGTAGAAAGCTAATAATTTTCATATTAGTAGCCATTTTCCTACAATGCAACCAAAATCTTCTATTTTTCAGCAATTCTGCTCTTAAAATATATCCCACCTTTAGCAAGAGCAAAACTATTGCTCATTTAGGAAATATGTAATAGCCAAAAAACCAACACCCACAATTACTATGAGCTCAAAAATCTGTGTTTTTAAAAAAAGTAGTGATGGAGATTGAAGGTCTCAGGCATGCTAGGTAAGTGCTTTACCCTGAGCTACACCTACAACAACAATATATAATTTTACAAGTTCATAGACTTTCATGATTAAGCAAATGTATAAAGGTATGATTTACTTTTATTCATTAAAGGGTCTTTTTTGAGATAAAGTCTTGCTCTGTTGCCCAGGCAGACCTTGAACTCCTTGGGTCAAGTGTTCCTCCTGCTTTGGCCTTCCAAGTAGCTGGGACTAGCAGTACCAGACCCTACTTAGCAAACAGTTCTTATGTTTAGATACCCTATTAAAAATTCTGCATGGACATTCACTATTCTTTACTTTATCTGCCTCAATATCTACTCTCTTTACAACTATTCTGTTTCTCTTAATGACAAGCCCTGTCCCCCGAAATGCATTAAATACCCTCTTACTCTGGTTTTTCTTTCTATACTATATTTTCAAGTAGGTACTCTTTCCAGAAAATAATTTCCAGAAAATAATTTCCAGAAAACTCTTTCCAGAAAACAATTTTCCTTTGCTCAGTGTAATTTGGGTAGCCATTTAGAGATGACATCAAAATTCACCTTTTTTTACTCTCTCATTGCTCTCTCACATCCTTTTCAAATAGTCACATTGCTACAAAAGAAAAGCATAATTTATGTCTGTAGTAACATGACTTTTCTTAGGAAAACAGTAATCAGCAGAGGTTCCAGTATCAGTAGGGAAGGGGGAAAAAAAAGCCCTTAGGACTTGAGGAAATTCTGTACGACAGGGCACTGTACACACAATTTTGCAAAGTCGAGCTGAAGTTGAGTTTAAAGCATTTCTCACACTGACAGTAGAAGTCAAACACAGGACCACGTAATGGTTCTCCCTTGCAGAATAAACACCCACGTCCGCCTCCTGCCAAGCAGAGGCAGCCAGAGAGCATGCGCAAGCGATGCCCGCACACGTGGCTACAGCGGATGCTGCTGCGCATGAGGGGCACCGTGGGAACAGAGGTTACCCTTGCACACAGTTTCTCATTAAACTTCCACTTGAGATCGAAATCCACTCACTGTGGTAGCCACTGCTGCCGCTAGCCTCTGCCGGCGCCGGGTTGTGCTGAACTGGCCCTTCGCGGGTGGCCCTTCCTGACAGTGAATGGGAGAAGACAAGGGGGCGAAGACACGGGATGGGGAGGGAGAAGGTGGGGTGAGGGAGGACGAAAGATAATCAGACAAGGGAGAGGGAGAGTTTTTAACTGAAGTTGACTTTTCTTTACGGAGTCAAAAACAAAAACAAAAACTCTTAGCATTGAAAGGGGCGTTCATGCCGTGAGAAATGATCCTTATTCTCCTCGCAGGTCACTTCAACCCTGTGCAGGCCCCTTTGTGAACACAACCACTGCTCCGAAAGGAAGCGGAGAGTTACGAACTGATGGACAGCCTGCGATTTTAAGGTAAAATAAATGCGCACGCTGTTTTATTCATGTGATGTCACATAAGTGACAGCAAAGAAAAATCACGTTAGGGAAAAACTGATTCTATACTGTGCACATGTTAAAATGAACAGTTTGTCACGAGAGCCTCCTAGAGGCCAGGCAGAATTTTTTTTAAAAAGATTTATGTATTATTGGGAGAAAAATAATAAGGAAGATGCCAGGATTCTCCAACTTCCCAATCAATCCCCTACCATAAAGCTTCCTCACCGAGATTCAATATTAGAACGAGTACTGGCATCTTCAAGTTGAAGAATTTTCCAAGGAGGAGGCCAGTACAGGATAGGGGGAAAAAAAAATCAAGTTTTTCAGTATGTGGAGATAATACCTAAAAACATCAGCTATGAAAAACTGAAAGCAAAGGCTTCATTTAGTGATGTGAACCTCTGCATAAACCAGCAGAAGAATCCTAGAGCTCTCTCCCATTTCTTTCCTCTTGGTGGTGGGTGGGTTTAAAGGATCTATTTCCTCCTAGCCACTTGATTCTACCTGACAAACACTGAATCTTTAAGGTTGTGAACAAGAACTTCATTGCCAATTAACTAAGATGTACTTGCTTAGAATAACTTAACAGTTTCTGCTGAAAAAACAGCATGAGCGCTTCCATCAATTTAGCATGACTAAAAAATACTGTAAAATTTTGTATCTCTGATTTGCTTTACATTTTCCAAATCATCCGTATTTCTCTTCCATCCTCACAAATCTGCATACATGTATGTCACACACATACACACATGCACACACACATAATCTGTTCTCCATAAAAAATTTTTCTATACAAAATCCCTTTGTACTTAAGGTAGGAAAAGGAAGAATTCATGTTTACCATTTCCTCCAATGTCTAGGGATCAAGTACTTAATTCATGCTATTAGCAACATGTGAAATCTAGCAGCATTTTCTTCCACAGCACACCTTTAAAATTGTTCCTTTCTTGCCTTCCTTCCCCTGTCTTGTAACACAGTCAACTTCTTATTACATAATGATACTAAGATTACTCATAGAACCAGAAAATTTAAAGTTTAGGAGACAGGAAGTCCATTTTTTAAAAGGTAATACCACAGAACATTCTAGGGCAAATGTGGACTTCATAAGTTACATAACAGACTCCTGAGGCCAACTACCCAATGGCATCTAGTAGAAATATAGCCATACAGGCCCAGAATGTAACTTTCACATTTGCGAGAAGAGTATGATCTAACCTATGCAAAAATAAGCAATCAAATACCTGGTATATAACACATTTTACTGTCCTGAGGTCATCTTTAAAATGATCTGTTTTATAATTATTAAAAATGACAACTATGACCAAATGTTAACAGCAAAGTTCTGAGACACAACATCAATAGAAACCACGACCACAACCACCAGCAGCAGAACGCTGGCTCCCTCACAGAGGCTGAGGAACTAAGATGCTCACAGCAGAGAGCATGGAGAGTGAACCGCCACAGCCCAAGAGGCTCCTAAATTGGCTGCAACAATCATCAGGAAAGTGAGATGATAATAAGCTCATAACCCATACTTGGCATTACTAGATGGAATTCCAAACAGTCAAAAAGCATTTAAAATAGGAGGGAAAAATCTGGCTATTGTGGTGGGGAGTAAGTGGGAGTCAGACTCAGTCTAGTGGAGTAAAACTGAATCCTGTGTCTTTCTGTAGATCACATACTGCTGAGTAATGATATTCCTGCTGGCCATAGTCATCACTGGCTGAATCTCTGGGTGCCCAGCAATGATGCATATTCAAGAGACTTGGGGGAAGTTCCCATAGAGAATAAGCACCCTGAGGGCTCCTGGAAAACCTGGTGTCTTAGGTGAGCAGAAAAGACTTAGGTATGGTCCAAATTCTGCATTTCAGTCCTCCACATGCTTTGTTTAAGTCCAAGTGAAAGTGGATTTTCTCCAAGAGTAACAGCTTATTGCCACCGGAAGTCTATTACTTCTGTGTAAAGTTGGAACTACACTTTTGAAAGGCAGAGTTTCTTTGAGCAGGGAATTAGATTATTTCCATTTCCCTCAAAATATCTACACAAGAATTACAAGGGCCATTGTGTTACTCTTTAGCAATACAAAAATAAAGCAAAATAGTAGAAATAAAAATTTTTAAAATGAATCACACAAAGATGTGGAGTACAAATGGAGCATATCTTCCTGTTGTTTAAACAGTTTTCTTTTTTTGAGGACTCAAGAAATTCTTGATAACTTCCATGAGTATTTAAAAACATAGCCTGTAATTAGGAAGGGTATTCAGAACTGTATTCTGTTTTCTTCAGAAATGATCGAGTAAAAAGGAGTTGTAGTGTGCTTCCTGGCCAGGGCAGGCAGCAAGGGGTATGGCAGTCAAACTTGCTGACAACCAACCTACCCAAGAAACAGCTCTGAACAGAATCTGTTCATTGGCATATTTTACAAAAATACATCAAAATAATATCTGTTCACAAATGTATATGTTCTTATGATGCTAGTTTTTTGGTATTATTTTATTTAAAAGAATGGTTCTTTTATTTACTAAATGATCCTTTTTTTCTAGCCATGAGGCCCATAAATAAGAAGTTTAAATACACACACACACACACACACACACACACACACACACACACGACAATTACAAGCTCAAAACAAGTGAAACGGCCAAAGGCAATTTTAGGTAATTTTCTTGTTAAACTATTTGGCACATTTGTCCCTACAGTATTAATTTTATGAACAGAAGGAAAAACACACAAAAACACACCAAACAAAAGAACACAAAGAATTGTATTCACGACATTAAAAAATGGACCTTTAAGTGCCTATCAAAATTTATTTTTAAAAACATCAGATTAGTTAGTAAGTTTGCTTGTTATTTACACCTTCAGAATTACAATGCACAGAATGTTATTAAAGAAGTCAGAATTAGAGAATTATTTTGTTAATTATTCAGAAGAAATAGAAGATATCTGAAAAGCAGTTCCTTTTAACCTTTGTGTTAGGATGTAAACTGATTTATAGTACAATAAAAAAGCCAAATCATGTCTAATTTTGACTGCACAAGGCAAGAATCATCAATAATATACAACAAAGATAAGAATATTAGAGATTCTAGTTTAACGATCTGGAAGATGATTTATGACTTAAGTTTTAGACATATTTTGTTGCATTTCAATGCAGTAACATAAGAGGACCTTACTTAAAAATTTTTAAACTATTTATTTCAAATAAATTTTAAGGAAATTATCACTAGCCATTAAGACTTTAGTTCAGATTTTTAAGTGGTTTCTACAGGCCAAATAATATCTATTTTTGTAGAATCACATAATTTTAGAGTTGAGAGGGAATTCAGAGATCATTATTAAATTTATAACATCATTTTATCCAAGAGCAAATGGACGCCCAGAAAATTCAACAGATGTACACAAAATTATAGCCAATACCCAGAGGAGAACCCAGGCCTGTTGATTTTTAATCTACTGTAATCCCCTACTGTTTTTCTTGATAGATAAAAACTTGGATGAAGTTGGCACATAAAAGGCCCCTTTTAAGATCCAGCACAGCATATGCATGAACATTCATTACAACCCACTAGATTTATAGTCTAGATTTTAAAGAGGACTTTTTGTAAAAATAAGTTTTAATGGTTCAAAGGCTATAATTGAGAATGAAAATGCTACTTTGCAGCCATAGCGTACACTTTTAACATTCTCTCAAAATTCTTTTCACTTATGTTCAAGTAGGTAAATTAAACAGACTTCCCACTATTTTAGACAATATAATCCTGTTTGAAAAGCTCTCGCTTTAAAGTAGCTAAACTGCTCTCTCAATCTAATGCCCATGTACCGACATATACAGATTAATACTTTAAAAGTCTATGAATACATGACAGAAGGAAAAGTAAAATCTGTACCTGCAGTTGTATTTTTGTATCTTTGCTGACACTTTTTGTTCTCCAGCGTCTTGTGACCCGCTTGTCTTTCTTTGAAATATCTACACAGTTAGCCTACATTGTGCAAATAGTTAAAAGCAACAAAAGATTATTAAGTTCACATGGATAATACACATGCAGACAAAGAGCAGCAAGTTAGTGTTGAATCATGTTAGAACCTTGAAGCAAACCAGGCAGGAGAGAGAGGCACCACATTAAAAGCAGAGACAAAGACTAAATTATATTTTAATGGTAAAATATGTTTTCCTGATGTGCAAAATAAAAACAACAGGATTAAAGAGCTCAAGCACTTTTTGTACATGAAAAGATGGTCCATAGTTCTGAGTGTCTAAATCTGTATCTTCAAAACTGTCATTTCTAAGGCAACAGAAATATGGAAGAACAATTCAGACAGACATTTCTACAGCAGCTTGTACTGTATTTAAATGTAAAACATTCTAAAAAGTCATCTTAATTAACATAGTGACACCAAGATATTAAGTGACATCAAAATATTAAGGCTAACCCCCGAATACAAACTAGTTGGTATTGCAGTTATTTCCCTTTAAATGTCACCTTGTACATTCATAGACCTATCCAGGAAAGATTAAAGGTTAATACCTAGATAGGTCTTTCTACCAACAGCAGAAGTAGGTTTACCTGCATGTCAGTAAAGTTAGGTGCTGACTGAGTTCTCTGAAGTATCTCCAAATTTTGTAGGAGTTTGCTAAGTTCCACAAGGTTTGATTGGCAGTGTGCAAGATCTAATAAAGATCAGAAATAAAAACATGTTAGAATTAGGCAGGGATTGGTGGCACATGTAATAAAAGGGAGTCAACCCACATTTCAGGGAATATGATAAAGAAGATCGAAGCCTATATGATGGTAATACAGGCAAATGAAATAAAGAAACATAAAACCACACGATTTCAAAGCCCATTTCTATCAATTAATGATTCTTAGTGTAGAAGACATTAAAAATCTCAGTCAAACTGTGTGTGATCACTTTCCTGTTCTGGTAGCTTCTGTCACATAGGAGACACACTCAGGGCAACTTCAGCAGGCCTGTGGTCGTACTCTTAGGGCCAGTCCACACGCCCCTCTAAAATAGTTTACAAGGTGCTTGTCTGGAATTTGGGCAGAGTCAGAGTCAGGTTCAGAAAAACAGAAAGGCAGCCAAATGAGGTGGTGCATGACTATAACCCCAGCTTTCTGGGAGGCTGGGGCAGGAGGACAGCAAGTCTCAACCCAGCCTGGCCAACTCGGTGACTTGAAGAGACCTTTCCCCAAAATAAAAATGTAAAGGGATGTAGCTCAGTGTAACAGTGCTGGATTCAATCTCCAATAACACACACTGTGGAATACCAAAATCAGTTAAACATCTTCATGATTTAGCTCACTAATAATGTTGCAATGAATGATTCCTTTAAAGTCTATTAGAGACATTAAAGTAATACAACATTTTATATCTATGGAAACAAACTGCTCCCAGAGTCAAATAATTTCCTTATATATTTAAGGCCTGGGCTGGTATAATTCCAGATCTGTGACTAGCCAGCTGCTTTAAGTACTAGAACTATATAAATCAGATATATTACCTATTTAATAAGGTGGTGCATCTCTCCAAATGTAATTAGCGAAATAAGCATCCAATGAAATTTTTTTTTTTTTTTTTTATCTTTTTGAGACAGGGTCTTGCTATGCAGTTCAGGCTGGCCTTGAGCTCATTTTGTGGCCCAGATTGGTTTCGAACTCACAATGATCCTCCTGCCTCAGCCTCCCAAGTGCTGGGATTAGAGGCGTGTGCCACCATGCCCAGCTACCTCCAATGAAGTAACTAAGAAATGTTCATCGTTTTGAAACTCAAAGTAGGGACTCTATGACATGTAACTACTATTGAATATTTTTAAACTGCTTCAGGAGATTAGGAAAGGAGTGTTACTATGAGCTGGAGTCATCAGAGAAGCCTTATAAAAGAATGGTCTATGTTCTGGGTCTGGAAGATTAACAGAAAAGGTTTTAACAAGCCAGGAGGGGAGGGGAAGGGCAGAACTGTGCCCTCGGGGAGAGCAAACTGTGCCAAGATGTGCAAGTGGGAACATTCAGGTAAGTTCAGGAAACAGCAAAGTTATAGAAGACAAGGCTGAAAGGGTATGTAGGGCCTGGCATCTCAAGCAAGGGCTGCTAAAGGTGGGGTAAGCAGTTCGTACGAACACTCCCAGGGCTGACGGAGAACTGCTGAAGAGTTTCTGTACTAAAATTACTTTCATACAGTCTCAAGGGCGTATTATGTAGTGAACAAAGAACTGGCTTTGGGGTTAGTCAAACGTGAGTCGACTGCAATCCCAATCTCTCCACCAGGACAGCTGCATAATCCGGGCAAACCTTCACCTTGATGCATGCCACTTTCCTCATCCACACGGTGGGCCCAGCAGCAACACCTGTGCTTTGTGGCTGAAATGCAGCACAGTGATGCCTGTTTGCCAAGCGCCAGCCCGGGGCCTGAATAATAATTTCCCATGAGCCTCTGAGTAGGATGAGGCAGCAGAGCAAGAAACTGAGGTGGCGGAACCATCAGGAGGCTGTGTGATGCCCAGAGATGAGGAGAGTGCTGGGCCTGAGGGAAGACACAGCTGATAGGGCAGTGGAGCAACATCTTCAAACAGCTGCCCTAGAAGTCTGAGCACTTGAGTTCGAATCCCAGCTCCGTTTCAGGAGCCATGGGAACTTGGTCGAGGGAGTGACCGTCTTTGTACTTACATTTCCCACAGGAAACCTGGGCATCCCTCCTGCGGGAACTTGCAGTCCTCAGAAAGTGCGGTCTGGCTTGTTTCTTAAACCTGAAATTACTGGACTCAGACTAAGTCTGACTGTTCGGTAAACTCATCCTGGAAAATCTTAATAGACTATCAGCTGGGTGTGGTTATGAATATAAAATCCCTCTTAAATCACATTTTCAAGTGATGATAGAGTTTGGGAAGTGGGCATCTGGGAGGGCTGATAAAAATGCCGCACATATAAGCAGGGTGTGGTGGGGCATGCCTGTAATCCCAGCATTGTGAGAGGCTGAGGCAGGAGGATCACAGGCTCAAGCTCAGCCTGGGAAACTCAGCAAATTACTGAGTACCTATCTCAAAATAAAAATTTAAAAAGGGCTGGGGGTATAGCTCAGTGCAAAGACCCTAGGAGTGCCCTAATACTGCAAAAAAAGACCTGCTGACTGAGTTCACACACTGGTGGAGTGAAAACATACCCATTTTGGTGGGGGATCTAACAGATTGCCAAATTTTAATTTTTCTCAGAGGGAACATCTGTAAATTCTCTAGTCATGTTTACTTTCAATTTCACAAAAGAAAACTATTTTAATTAATCCCAGCATCATCTGACGATCACTACAAAATTTCAATCGATTGAGCCTTATTAAGTACTTTTTACACTGCCCTTATTTTTTCCTGTTTTGAAGATCAGGTGGAAACTGTTTCCTAGACTGGCAGTCACCTGCGGACCATGTTCAGATGAAGCTGCTCTGGATGACTGAGTGGGAGGAGGGAGGAAGAGGAGATGAAGCGGAGTGAAGGAACTGTGTGTTAGTTTGCATGTTTACCAACTGATGCCCATGGAAACACCACTCACGGGTAACTATGGCTATAAGAAGTGGCACCTTGGAATTCTGCTGTTACGGCTGGGTTGCCAGGAGACACACACCTGTACTGTGGGCAAAACAGAGCAGCTCAGCAGGAAATGAGGCTGTGGAAATGCCCTGGAGAGGAGGGCGGAGCAGAGCCCAGGAGCGTGGGTGGGGACATCTCCAGGGTCCATGGGTGGCACTTAGGAAGTCATGAAGTAGAAATGAGGAAAGAAGGCTAAGGTGAGTTCAAGGTAAGGGCAAAAGGCAGAGTCACTGGCTCTGAGAGTGCCAAGGAACTGGTGGATGAGAAGCCCGGATAGGCCATGGGTTATAGAAGGATCTAGTGTAGAAAAATAACCAAGGACAGATGAAGGCTCTCAAAGGGTCCAGGCAGGATGCAGTACCGGCGATTCACCATAGTGGTTTTCATTTTGTTTCCGTTGGCTTAGGTTACATGGCAAGAACTAACCTTCTGCACACCTGTCCATTTCTTCGGAGTCCTGCAGCCAGGCTGCCACCTTGCTCTGGCCGGTCGTACAGCTCGCAGGGAGGCTGCTGCTGCATGGGAGCGGGGACTGCCACGGAAAGTTGTTCGGCTGCACCTAGAGGGGACAGGGACAGCGCCCAAGGGGATGGGCGTGCGCGGTGGAAATGGTACATTTAAATGGTTGCTAAAAAATACCAGTATCTTCAAAGCAATATTTATTTTTTAAAGAAAGGAATAGAGAACACGTTCAAAATATGGAAGAAACCTCTTTGCTAAATGTGGTTAAGTGTTCAGGGAAGACAAGAGTCATAATAACAGCGCCTTTACTCAGCAGCTGGCTCCATCACACAAGGAAGGGGACAGCATTCAAGTATGTTGTATCTCAACATCAACTCAAATTCCTGATAATTTGAAGTTACTCAGTTAATCTGTATTTAATACAGTGTCTTTAGTCCAGAACTTTTTTCTTTTTTTTTTTTTTCCTTGATACTGGAGATTTGAACCCATGGTCTTTGAACTTAACTACCTACCCAGCCCTATTCCTCAATTTTTTTTTTTGTTTGTTTGTTTTTAAATTTTGAGACCAGGTCTTACTAATTCACAAGTTGCCCTGGCTGGGCTCAACCTTTGTGATCTTCCTGCCTCAGCTTCCCAGAGTGCCGAAGTTACAGGTGTGTGCCAACACGTGGCTTTATTGCAGAACTCTTAACTCCTGAATTAAGGCCTTGCATTTGCAAAGTTCTGTGTGCTCTATGATTAGTTCAAGGTCTTATCAACCACAGGTGATTCCCAAATCTATTATGCACCAATATGCAGCCTTATGCTCCGAATGCATACTGAAGATGATACACAAAGGTTTGCCAAGCTATTATCTATAGCTGATTTACTTTCCACTGAAAGGATTTTATGTGAAATAAAGTTGTGTGAAATGTGCAGTTGGGTGAGTGCAATAAACACGCAGTAAAATAAGCAGAAATGTACTGCCCAAGAAGCTGTAAGTTTAAAATTCCATATTTGACTTGAATAGTCGATTACAACTGACTGCATCTCTTCTAAAGCATTATCAAATGACTGATGCATACACTTAGCAAACCCAGACTTATTTACTACCCACACAGAGCCACAAACTGATTAACATTCAGGAGCCCCATAATCTGACATGTAGATGGAAAGCAAGGAGGTAAAAAGCTCTTTTCAGTCTTTATTGCATTTTAATAAACCTAATAGAAAGCTTTCACTGAGTAAGATCTTACAGATAACGTCATCTGCAACTGCACAAATGAGCTTTTGTAAAAATCACAGTTGAAGAACTTTCTTATTCCAAGGCAAACAGTAGGGGAGGAGTTGATTTTAGTCTCTGATTCTCAAATATCACCCCAGTTGTTTAATAAATAAGATGCGGGATGAAAGTAAGGCATCTTTTGTCAATACCTTGTGCCAAAGATGCAACCAGAAGTTGAAAGAACCAAAGAATTAAATTTTTATATTTTTAAGACAGCCCCTTGGAATGCATTTTTCATTTCATTTGGACAAACTCTGGGAAGCCTAGAGACACTCAGAGACTAACTTGGGAACTTACGAGCTTCGAAACTTCCTAGTGCCCTGACCTTCTGATTGGTTTCCTTTTATTTCAGAATTGGTTGCTATTAGGCTTAACCTCATATCCAATTTCAAGGAGAAAGATAATTAAGCAGTCCTTAGCAAGGCTATCGCCAGAATGAAATAATAAAAGGTCTGAGGGCCTTGTCAAATACAATTAAGGAGATTTAAGAAAAACGACTTTAGTAATTTCCACAAAAATAACCAAAAATTGACTAGGGTACTGTTTCTTTGAATCTGATTTGGTTAGCTCTGCAGTTTCTTTATGGAGTTTCGTAACAGTTTGCAAAGGAAATCTGGTTCTGTGTGCTACGGGCACGCCTCTGGAAGGAAGCGGAGAAGCAGAATCTCCATGGAAACGTTCTTGAACTCAATCCTTGGGTAGCTGTCTCTGTCCTCAATTTCAGGTGCCAAGTGCGAAGCCGCAGCACCCCTGGGCCCTGCAGTGTTGCTACATTTCAGAAACCTAATTATTGAATCAAAGGCAGAAACAACTGCCTCTCTCTGCCTGTTGTCTTAACCTTGACGTTTAAACAGGCAACACCTACACTCTCTTAGGGTCACTGAAAACAAACTCTCATTCCAGTCCAAGGAACAACTTCAGCTTCCCTTGTCTATGAGGCACCTAGTATAATGGAAGGGGCACTGATTTCAGAAACGGAGATGCAGGATCAGATCCTGGAACAGCTATGCCATTTGGGAACAAATAATTGTTTTTCTTTGCAGTACTAGGGGCTGAACTTTAGGCCTTTGCACTGAGTTACAGCCTCGGTGTCCCCTTTTCGAACTTTTTTATTTGCAGACAAGCTCTTGCTAAATCACTAAATTGCCCAGGCTGGCTTTGAACTTGAATTCCTCCTGCCTCAGCCTCCCTGAATACTGGAATTACAGGTATGTGCCACCACTCCCAGCTTTCCAATTCAAATTCTTTATCATCTCTTAACTTTGGCTGTAGGAAAGATTAGAGATGGACAAGTGTCAAGCGCTTAGCACAGTACCTGGTGACCGAAATAGGTTACTACTTATGTTATTGTCACATTCTCTGTCTCACTTGCCTTAACTTCGTGAGGGAATTTACTAGTCTCTCTCTGGGTCACGTATGTTGTGACAGCTCAAGGGGAGAGAGCAAGTTACTTTTAGAACCAGGGTCTTCCTATTGCCACCTAGGAATGCGCCCGATTTCGGAGTGTTGATCAAACAAGTGCTCGCTCTCTTCTCAGTTTTCCTACCAAGGAAAGAAAAGCAGGAGCTGGTCTGTTCCTCAGACAGGAGAAATACCTGTGAACGCACTAGGCGATCCCCATTTCTGCTTAATCCATATTTGTGATCCTCTTCGATGCCAATGTCACTGTTGTCTTCTAAAAGTCAGTTCACAAAGCCCAACCTTCTACTTCCAGTGCTTTCAAGAGAGACCCAGGACGTGTTTGTGAAACTTTCTGGCAATTTGCAGGCAGATTTTTATAGAGCAAGGCCATACCTTTCCATCCACAACAGAAACATTAGCAGCTGGGGAGGACTCGGCTGTGGAGGCTGCAGGAAATATGTGAAAACTGGCATCTCTCGGCGACCTCACAATTTCATTCTGCCGGTACAAGCGATGGTGGCGCAGTTTGGAGACCCAGGCGTCGAACCAGTCCTGGGATTTCACCTGAAACCAGGAGCAAGAGGAGCAGTGACTGAAATCAGCCTCTTACCCACCACAGGCGCAGGCAAATTATTTCCTCTGCTAATGACAGAGAGACTGTTGAAATGCGGCTTCACCTTCAAGTGATAGATGTGCTCTTCTGTGTCAAGGTCTATCCTCCGAGCTTTCTTTTTAATCGACATGACAGACAGCCCGACATCTATGCTCCCGTGGACCTTCCCCTTCTGAATCTGAAATCAAAAGACAAGTAAACAGGCTAGAAGGTTACCTGGTCTGATGTGTTTCCCCACTGAACATGACTGAGGCTCAGCTTTTAACTTATCTATGGAAAACGGAGTAGCGCACCTCTTTAATAAAGGTTCTGAAGTTATGGTCCTTCAACTGAGGACAAGTGAAGTTGCTGTGACTTCCCACTAATGTCAGTGAGTACTGTTATCATCTTATTCCTGTTTTTGCAGTAATCTAGTCAACTGGTCGCAATTCTAGGTTGCACAGCTAATATCCCCTCGGAAAGGCATTTTTAGTTGTTCCCAAAATAGCTGTGGTCAACTTTTGACCCACGACCCAGAGCATCCCTGAAAAGTCAGCTGGAAAACAGCTGCTAGGGCAGAATAGGGCAGCTGGGACCTGACAGCAGGGAGCAGATGGCTCCTCCTCCTAGGCACCCCCCTCAGACCAAGGGCAGAGCTGATTCAGTGGCAGAGATGGGTCAAACTGAAATCTGAGCCTTCTGTCATTTCCCCTACGGCAGGATGACAAGCAGGGAGATTTTTCCTGCTTTGTGCGCAAGCAACTATTTCAAATATGAAAGATAATTTGGGATTCTCAAGATAAAAGGATGTATGAAATAGAAATGAAGTCAAAAGACAGTTTATAAGAGGACAGCAACAAGAACAAAGATTGAGCTACACCTCAAAAAAGCACATAGGAGTTTACTGAGAGGTGAAAAAAAAAAAGGATATTTGCACTTTCTCCCCAAGAGAGAAAGAGCAATTTTGTCAATATGTCACTTTTAGGTTTAAGCTTCTATTTTTAATAACATACATCAAATAGTTAAGTTAAATCTTCATGCACTAGTTTGAGGTTTTATGCTATCTCGAGGATAAGCATAAAACACACTACTCTGGAACATGCAGGTTTAGTAGCTTGTTAAATACTACAAACATAAACATGCACAAAATTAGTAACTGTGGCACAAGGCTTGTACAATTATAGTGTTTACTCACTTCAAGCAGAATCCTAGCTCAATCTTTGAAACATATCCTGTGTGCTACTTACATCAAGAGGTGCCTTTGAATATTTTAGCATTCCATTATCCAGGACAAAAAATCGCTGCAAGAACCAAACACCCCTAGTTACTGTCTGTACTTGGAAATACATAAAATATTCGCAAGCGTGAGTGTGCTTTGTAATTATCAATGTGTTGATCACTTTAATATAGAATTTGGTGCATTATTAAATCTCAAGGATATCAGAGCTTGAGGTCAATGCTACTAATCTACCAGAGTTGTTTTCTTGTTAACACATAACTTAATGGGGATGGAATTTTTTCACCGTGATTATTCTTAAGAAGGAGGGACTCTCATGGCCTGCCCGTAAGACCTTTTAAATGAACCATGGATAGTTGTTTTTTTTTTGTTTGTTTTTTGAGACAGGGTTTCCGTATGTAGTTCAAGCTGGCATTAAAGTCACTATGTCCCCTAGCCTCAAACTCATGGAAATCCTCCTGCCTCAGTCTCCCAAGTGCTGGTATCATACTCATGCACCACCACACCCCACTAATGCTGCATGTTTTTAAAAGAGAGATATAAAAATAATCTGGTTTAGGTTATAGAGATTCTGGGAGGATCTCTACACAAATCTGCAGGAAAGTTCTACCCTGGAGGTAAACTCCTGAATTTCCCCTGCATACTGTACCGTGCAAAATTTCTGAAAATGCTCATGACCATTACAGGAATTAGTTGTGTAGATCAATGAAAAATTAAGTCCTTGAAATTTTAAGGGATCTTAGCAATATGTTTACATTATCCATTTAGCAAATGCTTGCATTCCAAAGGAGGCTAATGATGTTTCCAAATTGCATTAAGGATAAAAAACAAAACAAAACAAGATTTCTGTTGGGGGGCAATTTCATCTCCTCTAAGATCTTTCTAGTCCAGTCTGAATGGGATGTAGCAATTTTCAGCAAATACGCATGGAGTGGGAACTCTCTGCTGTTGATTTCTCTTCATAGGCATTCAGGAGAGACTAGTGCCCAGGTCCCAATCACACAATGGGTCCACTACCCGCCTCTAGTTCACTACAGCAGGGAGTCTTTCTGTTGCTGGAAAATGACAGGGCAGAAATGTTTTCATGTGATTCAGGAACTCAGATCCGCTGAGGTAGCAGGTGGTCAGCTGCAAGGTTACTCTGCCTAGAACTCACAAAAGGCCACTGCGACCCTTTGTTTCACATTCTGGGGGACAACAAATAAATATGAAGAGAAAGAATCTCAACTGAAAAATACTCAATGACTCAAATCACTTTGCACTGGGCAACTAAACAGACTAATGCTTGAATCTGTACACGATGGTCCTGCAGAGCAGGAGGCAGTGTGAGGGGGTCCTCCCACTTTTATGCAGCAAAATGTTCAAAGGCATAGTCCAGAAACTTGCCGCATACTTATCTGTATTTGAGGACATTCAGAGGGAGGGAATGAAGTATACTTCAAAGGGCAGTAAACAAACCTTCAGTATCAGCAATCTTCCAAATTTAATTTGTCCTGGTAACAATATTTGTAGGAATTTATCCCAAGGAACTAATTAATTTTCAATTATAAATATGTTCAGCACAACATCATAACAGCATAAAACTAGACAAGCTTTGCACATCTAGCAATAAGAAATCAGATTAATAATGGTGGCATATACAGTATAAATCCATACAATGGACTACATGCACACACTAAAAAAACTCATATTCATAAAAATGAGAACATATCTATACTAAAGCAGGTTAGACAATAATATGCATAATTTTGGTTTTAAATATCACATAAAGTATTTTTCCATATATATATTACAGACCTTAGACTCAAATAGGCATAATAGCTTGTAACTCATATGGTTAAAGTAAGGTTTAGGGGTACAGCTCAGCAGCACGGCGCCTGCCTGGCAAGCAAGGTGCTGAATTTGTCTCCTGGTTCCAAGTCCCCCGACAAAAATCCATAAAATAAGGTTTTAAAAATTAGTTTTATACATACAACATGGCTTCCCACCTAATTATAAGTAAGATCCTCTTTATAAAGACGATCACAACTTGAATCTGATAAAATCGTTACCTTGTGCCAGCCTTTTAAAGGCCATTTTCTTTTCTTCAGCATAAAGCCTTCATGTTTGTCTGGTTTCTGGACATTGGTTTGGCCTATTTTCAGCCCTTCTATAATTTCCCAGCTGTCAGCTTCCTGAGAGAAAACAAACACACAAACAAACAAACAATCTCATTTTCTGGGTCTGACGATACTCTGAAAGCAGATTTTTAAGTAGAGGTCACTTTTGAAGCAAGTTGACTCACCAGAAGTATAAGCCACATCCTGGAGCACATTCTAACATAAACACATTAGGCACTTTCAACTGAATTTAAAATGAGTTTCCCAGTAATCTGGCAGCAAGTGGGGCCCCTCAGAGACCCACAGGGGCCACCTTGTCTATGTGAATGGAATGGAATTTTGATTGCCTGTATTCAGAATGTTTAAGATGAATTTTCCCAGTTATTCTCTGAGTAAGTCTCAGAATGTGGCCATTTTGATAGCAAATGTTTGAATAGAGTGCAGACCTGGCCTTCTGTGTAGGAACAGAAAGCCTACAGTTGTTGAAAGTGGCTTGTAACCTGCTACCAAGAGAAAAAAACAGCACTGTGGTCATGTTTTGTCCTGGGGTGGCTGGCTGCATTTCCAAGTGCCCATCAAATATCTTGTTCATCAGGCGGGGGATATAGCTCAGCGGCACACACGCCTGCCAGGCAAGCGCCAGGTCCTGAGTTCAATTCCCGGTACCAATAAATAAATAAATATATATATAAAAGCTTTGAGTCATTTGTAATTTAAAAAAAAAAAAAAAACAAAAAAACCATCTCGTTTATCAAATGCACACCAGAAATTTCAGGCTTTTGAAGGTACACGTCCCCTTGGGAGCCTGTGGAAGGAGTACCAGCCTGTAAGGCCATGGAGCTGGACAGGAGAGCTGGGAGACTGCACAGTACTAGAAGGCGTGCTTACCATCTGTCTGCAAGGCCCTGGATTCAACCCTCAATATCTAAACAAAAGTAAATTTAAAAAAAAAAAGAACCTTAGTTCTAGAGTCCACACTCTCATCGTTCTGTTTAAAACTAATTGAATCTGTTTCTTTTCTTTTTTTCTTTTTTGAGACAGGGCTTCATTTTGTAGTTCAGACTAGCTTTTTAAAAATTTTTTCTTTCTTTCTTTCTCTCTTTCTCTTTCTTTTTATTTTAAAAAGAAGAGGAAAAAAAAGTCAGACTGGCTTTGAACTCACTGTGCAGTCTGGGCTGGCCTTGAACTCGAGGTGAGCTTCCTCCTGCCTCAGCTTCCCAAATTACAGGTGTTCGCTACCACGCTTGGCAGTACAGTTTCCTCTTTCACGAGACATGTTTTGTTAGATTTTAAATATCCAGACTTGCTTTTTTTTTTTTTTCCGGTACCAGGAATTGAACTCACAACCTTGCACTTGCCAGGCAGGCACTGTGCCGCTGAGCTAAATCCTCAACCCCCTTCCCAGACTTTCTGAATGCCTATAAAGATCTGGCGACACTTGTCTGCATGAAAGATGCCTGTCTTCAGTCTGCCACCATCCCCACTGAGCTTGGCAAACCCACCTGGCTTTTATAACAGCCAGGGTTTGAAAATGCTAGGATCGAGAGTCTCTAGGGACCTATGTAACTCTATAGTATCCGCTGACCTGGCAAACACCAGAGCAGTCCATGTTCTAGTGCTCCGGCATGACACCCTGGACCACAATGTGCCCTTTCCACAAGTAAGCAGATTGCAGCTCGTGAGGCAGGAACAGGCTCTTCATGGCCCTGGCACTACGGCCACATCCTGTCTGGGGGGCAGGAAGGGGCACGCAGGGCAGGGGGACAAGCCCTCTCAGGTGAGCTGCTCTGCCACCTCAGCTTTGGGAAGGTGGGTGCTCTGCATCAGGCCCCTTCCCAACTGACTTGGGAAGCGGCCTTCGGAAAAGGTTGGGTCTATTTGAAACATCATTAGTCCACAGAACAATGGGCTCAGCAGGAATGGCCAAGGGAATTCATCTCAGGGCACAAGGCTTTGCTGGCCCAAGGAGGCGGTGGTGGCTGCCCAAACCCTGTAAGGGAATATGAGGCTCCGGTGAGGCTCGGAGGAAAAGGAGTCCCATCAGCTACTGATACGGGCCATGAGCCAGGAAGGGAGTCACTGAGTATTCACCGCTCTTCTTCTCAGCCTTTCCCTCCTGAAGCCTGCTTGCCCTGTGGTCACATTTAATCAGTGTTAACTTCAAGTGTGTGTAGATAGGGAAGGACTTTCGTATGAAGTTACTGTTTCAGAAATGGCTAACACTGCTTCATTCTAACCTCGATAAAGCCGGGAGCCCTCTAAACAGCCCTCTACACCTGACACCAGGCCTCTGCTCTCCCCAAGCCCACCCCCAAGCCAACCTGAGACTGCTGTGACTTTGTTCATCCTCGAGGTCATCCCTGAGGAGGACACTACGCACTGCGCGCTGGAGAAACATACCTACTGGTGTTCATTTGGTGGCATGACAGAGTCTCGAAAGGGTCTTTAGTAACCCAAGAACAGGTTTCTACTTGAAGATAATTCTGAGGAAATGTGATTGATCTGGTGAAAACTATTAATGAGATACAGTGATTTTTTTTTAAAAAAACAGTGTTTCTGATGAGATAATTTCAAGCTGTAGAAACTATATTTCTTTTGGACAACACAAATGCAAGTAGTATTAGTACATCATCCAGTACCAAGGGGAAGGCGTCTTAATATGGGTTGCAATTCAACAAGTGAGAACTGCTTATAAATAACATTAAGATAATAAGAAAAATAATAAGTTATGACAAGGCTAGCATTTTGGTTTTCTGCTCTTACCAGAAAAGTAGGTAATGACTCTGTTCCACAAAATGATGGATTTATACTGATTCTTTTTTAGAAGTGTGATACAATTAAGAAATTAAAATAACTCTCCATATATGTATAAATATATTCCTTAGATGAATAGAATTCACGAGATTCTCCCTAAATCTGCAAATGTATTCTCTGTTCCTACAAGTGAGTATATAAAGACATTTCTTCTCTTAGTGGCTTCATCCATGGGTAGAATCTCTAGTAGAATAGAGTTTTATTTCTGCTAGGTTTTATTTGAAGGCTAGTGTGTAACTTTGATTTTGTGTGCGTAAGCTGGAGAATACTATACATAATTAGTAAAAATGGAAACATTTAAAAATCGGTATAAATGTATTTCTTTTCCTTTTCCCTGAATTAACTCAGAATGTAACAGCTTGTCCCTCTGGAACTACGGCTATCGGTTTCTATCAGAGGTTTTCTCTTCACTGGGAACTTAACTGAAGAGGGAAAAATAGGGATAAGACAGAAAAAGCAAAAGGCTAAAAGGTAACATAAATGCTGCAACTCTGAATCAACAATTCCATTTTCTTTGATGTAATATTCCTCTGCTAGCAAAAGAAAGAGAAAAAAAATTCTGATTTGGTTCTTACAATTAAGTAAGCTGTCAAGCTGACAAAGATGCAGAGGACACAACCGCAGCAAACAACGTTCTCCCTATTTCAATTATAAATGCTGATGATAATGTTACAAACAAGTTCTGTAATAAACGCATAACCCGTCTCAGGACAAGATAGAATCTCCTATGTTCTTTTATCTAACATGTTGAAATTCTTCCCACTATGCTTAGTAAACTAGGTCGAGCATAAAAAACTAAGTATCTTTCTGACAACTGAAGAATTTCTTTTGAAATTTCAATTGATATTTACTTTCTGCTGAATCTCTCCAACTTTCCTAGGTGTACTTAAAACAGAAATAGACAAAAGTCCTAATGTGATCATGTCAGTACTAGACCTAAGTCAGATATGCAAACATTTTTAGTATTCTAGAAGTTTTCAAAATACTTTTCCTCTAGTAACAATGAATAAAAGCAAAAAATAATCTAATAATAGCTTAATTCTATTCACTTGAAAAAGAGGGGGACATGTCCATTCTCAGGGATCTACTCCATGGATGTGCATGTGTGTACAGGTGGGTGGGGGAGGTTGTGGAGGCAGGGTCTACATAAAAAAGCTCTAAGAGTTGAAGGCATCAAGCAGAGAATTTAAAAGAAATCTTGATCCAGGAAAATGCGTACTTCGAACAAAACTCTTCCACTGCTAACCAGTGTCCAGGAAGTCTACCTTTTCTCAGAAGGGCCAAGAGATAGTGAGGTGCCATGCTACCTGGACTGGCCCTCTGTGGTACTGTACTTGGATTGGAGGGGGGCCTCTAATTCCAGGAGGCCCCAAAATTTATTCTGTATCTTCTAATTCAAAAACAATCAGGGCTTATTAGACCTACAGCTAGATCCAAATGGGCAGCAAAATGCAGAGAAATGAGGCATGGATGCTGTTGGTACCCCACCCGAATTTCTCAGTTGGGCTAATGGACCCACCACACCCCAGCTGCTGTGAGCAAGGCTAATAGCCAGCTCTTTCTATGGAGAACTAGTGTTTGACCAACTTGAGGCCTTTATGCTTGGGAAATAAACTCAGTTATCACTAAAACAAGAACATTAGTACTGACTTCAATAAATTGTTTAGCTGATTTAAAGGTGACATGTTCTAATATAGTGCCTGGTACAAAATAGGTGCTCAACAAATGTCAGCTGCCTTTTCCATTGCTCCATATTTATTTGCTGTCTCCTTTGCTAATGGTAAGAATGAACTGATGTTCAAGGAGGTACATGAATTGTATTTACCAAGTGTTTGCTCTTTATCTGCTGTTCAAATAGGAGTCAACCACTTTTATTTGCTCTAAATTATATTTATGGTTTGGTGATTCCCCTTTTCCTTAGCTTAGTAATCTACTCCTGCCTGACAGCATGAATTCAGTACTTCTAAAGTCTTCAAAGTATAAAGAGGCACGTACATCCCGTAGCACTAAGACAGTAATGTGTTCTTCATTTCACGGATTACGTTTCACGTAGGAAATGCAAAATGGAAGGATCAGCTAACATATTCAGAAGTTAACTATCTTTGGAAATAAAGAGCTATTTTTATAACTGAATTCAAAACCCACATGCACTCTATTTTTAGAGTTCCTCCAGGAGGGAGCCAGCCCACTGAACCTCTCCAGGGCTGCATGGGGATCAGTCAGACGTCAGACGCTACCTCCTTGACTGACTTTCACCTTTGAGACAGGAAAGGATATAGACACTTCCCTAATCTAAGGAGGAGCAGGCTGAGGAGGAAGGAACTCTGGCTCCCATGAAACAGTCAAATCTGAACAAATGACCTGCAGTGCTCTCCTGGAGGTGAGGAGACCAGCACGGGGACCGTGCGAAGGCCACCACGTGCAGGTACCATTACCTTGCGGGCTGTGGACCACGAGAAAGTATCAGTTGTTGAGTTGGACAAATTTAAGTTTGAATTTCTGCTGTGCTACTTAACAGCTTTTTTGACTTGGGCAAAAAAATCTGTTTCCCTTTTAGTAAAAGATAACAAATATTTACACAGAGCTGTTTCTAAGAATTATATTCAATGGGGTAATGTATGTAAGCCCTCAGCACAGTGCCTGGTATGCAGAGTTTGGGGAACAACAGTAGCTACTATTATCAGGATTGTTGCTGGACCCAGTGATTTTTCTCCCACTACCTTGGCACAGAAATATTTACTTATCCCTCCTACAGGGAATAACAATACTTTCTCTTTCCTTTTCCCTTAAAATAAAAATAATTTTGGTCCTCTGTATGTATCACTGCAAATCCAATATAAATTACACTTTCATCAGCTCTGTCCTTCACATGGTGGAGAAACACTGTACTGCAGGTAGAAAGAAGGAAGTTGGAAGAGATGCCACGCGATTGGTGTCACAGCTACCTTCGGGGAGCCAGGTGTAAAAGTTGTTCACAGTTCATAGGGCCCCAGGTGGGCAGGACTCCATCTGAGAAAGAACGACATCTGTCACTGACCTTGGAGAGGGGGACTGGCTCCGGTTCTAGCAAATGCCGACTTCCGGAGGGCTCGGTGCTAGAGGAACCAGTCCTCTCCAGGATGTGGATACTCTGAAAAGGAGTGGAAATACAGGCCAGGGTTAGACACTTGTTCCTCATACTGATGGACATGCAGGCGAGATCACACAGACCGCAGCACGGACAGTAAGTGGGGTCAAAAGCATCAAGTACTTCACGACCAAAGATAAGCGCAGCAGGCAGGGAGATATGTCAGTGAGGATTTTATCTTCCTTCTTATGGACTGACTGCTAAGCATCAGCTGCAAAGCTAGTTCCGATCTTAGAGTAGCAGTTCTGGAAAAACTTCAGGACACAAAAAAATTAAGTATGTCAGACATTTTTACAACTTTTTGGGGATGGTACATTTACTATGTAGACTAATTAGCTTTACACAGACATATATTTTTTTTTAAATGTTTCCAACAGAAAATGCCAATAAATAAAAGGAAAGGTCTAGGTCAAAAAGTCCATGGCCTTAATATTGTTTAGTCTCTAGAGTTTCTTATAAGAAGTACACAAAGAAAATAACATATCAAGCGCAAGAAAAAGTATATGTCTTTTTCAAAGACTATGAAGATCATTTGTACATCAGGAAGAAAACATTTCTAATACTGTAAATATCGATAAACACAATCCTTTAAATAACAACAACTGTTTAATAAAAGTCTTCAGTTTTTTAAGCGCATAAAGAGTTCCTGAGACTTAGAAGTTTGAGAACTGCTTAGGTTCTAGAACTTAAAAATGTGTGGTCATTATTAAAATGGAGTGTTCCTATATGTATATAAGTTATTCCTTCTTTTTTTCACAATGCTTCATTGGAAGAAAAGCATTTTTTTAACTAACACATTTCAAAATTTCTTTAAAGCTACTAAATTTGCCTCAAGCTAAAGTACACAAATCTGCTCATTAATAATCTCAAACTTGCCTGATGCACGACGCAAGCTTATGTGGGAAACAAACCTTGTCTTACGTGTTTATCAAGTATATCTGAGCAAGACCTCCCTCCCTAATATAAACTCTATGAAGACAACACCAACAGAGGTATTTTTAAAAATGAAGTAAATTTTCTAAGAAACGTGGGCAGTAAAGGTATACAGGTGTCACCGTACAGAAAAACATAAAATGCTTCTGCCACCACTGAATTACAAATTACTTTATAATTTGAGATAATTCCTTAGGAAAAAAAAAAGTTCCCCTAACATGATTTTTTTTACATCGAGTTAGAATTGTATAGAAGTCACACATTTTAGTAGCAAGTTCCCTCACCATCTAATAGAATATAAAAAATTTTAGCCAAGTAAACATAATAAACCAGAAGATCAAAAAACTGTTAATAGCATGTGTCATTAATTTATTCAATGAATCAGCCAATCATCACTGGACATCAACACAGAAAGTGACAGAGAAGAACAAGGAGAGGAAAGAAGACAAGAGAACTGTTCCTGTGATGTCTAGGTTCTAGAGGGAGGTCTTGTCATACCAAAAAGTAAAACTAAAACTAAATAATACTGAACATTTTTTGTGAACCCATTGGTTCACCGTGTTCCCTGTGGCTACTGCTTCTGCTTATTCAGTTTATCCTGGCAGGTGTCTTTGGTCTGCGCTTCTCTGCGAAGACTCCCTCCTTCTCTACACTTTCAGGTTGCTGGGCAGAAAAGCACAGATACATTACCAAGCCACTGCCCTCTCTCCCCTGAAGACACAGTAAGAGAAGGAAAACGTGGATAGAAACCTGACCTTAGCAACTATGTAGGTGGAAAAGAAGGATTCACTTAAGCAACCTGGCCAGGAAAAGGAAACTAAATCCTTTAATTTCCATATCAAGACACAGACATAGAAATGCTTGGTATATTTAAAGCATGATAAACATGACTTTTGTCTCTATAGACGCAGAAGGATTTTTTCAAATGTTGCCAAGCTTTTGTGGGTCAGCAAGGTGAGGTACCACATGATCCAGAACTCACATGTGTAATCCAATTCTGAAAAACAGTTTGCATTATGCAAGAAAAGGAAGAGGTTCATTCATTTCATTCATTTTTAATACAGCATAGTATAGTGCGTATTAAAACTGAGTGAAGGGCTGGGGATGTAGCTCAGTGGCATAAGCGCCTGCTTGGCAAGTGCAAGGTTGTGAGCTCGATCCCCAATACCACAAAAAAACAAAAAACAAACAAACAAACAAAAAAAACAAAGTAAAACTGAGTGAAATATCTAAACTCCTCATGATGATTTGCCAAGGCGCAAAGAATCTAAAAATGTTTACTGATCCATTGTAAGTAAATGAGTATTTTTATTACAAGTACGTATATACAGTCCACTGAAAAATATCACAATTTATAAAAATACCACTTTATTCCCATTATTTTAACTATTAACTAAAAATAAGCTATTTTATTTAACCTCCAATATAATGAAGCCAGTAGCTCTTTATAAACTTCCCTGTCTTATATTTGTATATTATTAGAAACTAATCATTGTTATCTATCCTAAATAGAAAAATGACCTTACTACCTTGAGCGGCTTCAAACTTACGCTATTTTAAACTAAAAGTTATACCTAAAGTTATGTAATAAAACATGTAACCACTTTATATTTTACATAAAATATATAAGTACCTTGAATGTTATACTTTTATTGTCACCAGCTATAGGAACAGTTTTAAGTTACTACACCTAGTCTTGGACCCTCTTCACCATGGTACCATTTCTTCTACCCACAATGCATCCCACCCTGCACAACACTCCACAGCTCAGTAGCAGACCATTTGCTTAGTATCTATATGGGCCTGGGTTCAGTTCCAAGCACTACAATAGCCAAAAAAAAAAAAAAAGTTTCTGAGCTGTTCAGTGTTTTCTGGTTAATTTGTAGAGAACAGTCCCTTCCTATTATGAACAGATGATTAGACATAAAACTACCTTCTAGCTTATTTTGGAATTATAAAAACCATAGCTCTTTTGAAAACAGATGGAACTTTTGAAAACATTTAAAACACCTGACTTTTGAAAATGAAAAAGCCAGTGGGTTAATTACCAGGCTCTTGTAATTAACCCACAAGATTAGATTTGGAGTTACGAGTGGTCAATGAGGAACACATCAAATTTGATTTTGTAACGTATACAATTACAAAATTAGTTCTTTTCACCTGGTTTCCCTTAAGATCATAATGTGTACTGTGATTTTTCTTTTTGCACAAGACAGCTATTTTCTTATGCTTTCATGGTAATTTGAAAACACATCCCACTTTCCTGAAGGGGTTAAACACATTATATAAGCAAGTTAAATAAAGGATTACATAAACTAGTTCATTGTTCTTTTAAAATCGAGTTTCCTCTCAAATACTAAAATTCCACTTTAATTTGCAGCTCAATTTTTAAAAGAACTGAGAATACACAGAGAAGATGGCAGTACTTACCCACCTCTTGGTCCCTCTGCCCAGAGAGCACTGAGACATGCTTGGCTCAGTTCAAAAGTCTAGAACCTACACTTCCCTGCAGCCCTCTAGCCTACTCTAAGCAAGTTCCCCGGGCTGGCATTCACCGGTCTCAGTACCTCCTGGGCAGCAGGTGGAAATCTGCCAACACGACTGTTGGATACCAGTTTCCTTGTACCAAAGATGTGGTAAACACACAGACAATGGGACTTATTAATAGCTGAATGGTTCAATGCGACACACATAGAGAGAAACAAGACTCTGAAAATAAGAGCCAGAAGGTCTGCTGCACGGGGTTTCTCATCATGTTCTCACTTTAAGTTCATTGTGAAGAGATGTAAGGAGTTTCTGGAAACATGTTAGGATGTGGTTACAAAATTTTGTAGATTCGCTTTACATACAAGTAATAAAGACAAGCCATTGCTCACCACGGAAATTGTTCATCTATCTTATCTAAGGTATTTTTTATTCATAAATAATATAAAATGTTTTCAAAGGAATATATCCAAAACAATTTAGAAACTTCTAACGTACTTTCTGCAAGTATTTGGCTATTAGAATTATCTCTCTTCTAGTTATAGCTATTCTTAATATAGCAACATTATTTCAGTGATTCTAGCAACCTACAAAGGGATGAAGATGATGACAGTCAGTATTTATTTAGTGCTTTCTATATCCAGGCGTCTATGCTATACATAGATTCTTTGGTTGTATCTCCACACAGACCCCTGAGTAATGATTATTAAATTTATTTTATGGCTGATTAAACGGTGAAGCACAGCAAAGCTGAGAGAGGCACAGGGTCAATAACTGCTGATGTAGAAATGTGAATCAAGATTTTAGTTCAGAATCCAAGCTTTTAAATATTGCCTTTTATAGAAGTTAAAGCTAAGGCTAAATGACAAAAAATACAGCAATTTCTAGTAGAAAAAGCCCTCAGCACTAGCTGGAGGTATTACACAGCACCCTCCATCCCGACCTGCTGTGGTACTGAGAGGCAGAAATAAGCAAAACCAAAAGGGAAAGAGGATAGGATTCTTAACTACCACACAATCTCAAGCTTAATTTCTTTGCGATCCTTGACCTACCTCAAGGTTAATTTCCAGTTCCTAATTTTCAAGAACTGAGCGAGTCAGCTAGCGCTTGCTCTGGGGATGCAGCGGAGGATGCAGAGAAAAGAACGTGAAGTTTTGCAGTCAGACCAGCATACCAACCCTCATTCTACTTACAATGTGACTCGGACAAATCATTATCCACTCTCAGCTCAATATCTTCTATCTGTACAATGGGGACATCATTGCAAGTCACAGAGTTGTCACTTAGTGTATATTTAGTGCTGCCCAGAGACTGGTACACACTAGACACTGAATAAATAGTAGCTACTATCCAGTAGTAAACACTACGTGAACAGTGCCTAGGAACCTTGTGTATTTCCATTGCCACAGAAAGGTGTCTACAGACCTCAAGAGCAATGAATCCATACCCTACACGGCCATCATGCTACCCAGTCAATCCAATAACCATAATTAGTGTCGCTTGGTGACTAGGGCATCAGAATTTACTGAGAAAGCTGCCCGGGTGAATGGAGGCAGTTCCTAGATAATCTCAAGGGGGGGAGCAAT